CCCTAAACCCTAAACCCTAAACCCTAAACCCTAAACCCTAAACCCTAAACCCTAAACCCTAGACCCTAAACCCTAGACCCTAGACCCTAGACCCTGAGCCCTGAGCCCTGAGCCCTGAGCCCTGAGCCCTGAGCCCTGAGCCCTGAGCCCTGAGCCCTGAGCCCTGAGCCCTAAGCCCTAAGCCCTAAACCCTAAACCCTAAACCCTAAGCCCAAAGCCCAAAGCCCAAAGCCCAAAGCCCTAAGCCCTAAACCCGAAACCCTGTGTCCTTTGTTGCACTCACTCTGTGCCCCGTGGCATCAGATGGCAATGGCAGTCGGCGAGTTAATCAGTTAATCAGTCGACGGCCCGTGCACTCACAGAGACTTACGGATACACCCAAATTGATTAGCCGCACTGTCCCACTTATTCACCGATATATTCACTCTTTATCCTTCAGCCGCTCGCGGCCACCTAGCACCCACAGCCATGATTAACACTCAATATGTGAGGTGGACAGAAAGACAAACCTACCACCCCAAATTTCTCTCTCTCTCTCTCCTTCCCACTATTTGTCGCACATACACATTCACAGTTTTCACTGCCATCCAGCAGCACACACCAGCCACGCGCACCCAAATTGAGGCCCACAAAATCAAAACTCACTGAGAGCAGGCAGCGCACACATCGGTCTATCGACTGACGTGTGTCAAAGTGTGTCGTCATGGAATCATCACAGCAGCGCATTTTACTTTCTATTTCCCACTGTGGGCATCTCTTTCACCGCCCGGCAACCGCAAAGCACCGACACCACACATGGGCTGATGCTCGTGGGTTCCGCATGAGGATTGACAAGCTCACAAAAAGATTGAAAACCCTACAGTTTCTTTCTCCCATTTGACACTACTAGTTTGACACTATGTCAGAAAAACACATTCGACCAGGCGAACGGACAAACCACGAGAATATATGTGTGTGTCTGTCTATCTGCGAGCCGCCAGTGTGTGACGGATGCACCGATGAGAGACCAACACACTCTCGCGAACAGACGTGACACCCAAGAGAGACACAAACAAACGGCCTAAACACGCATTCACTCATTCGCCCACCTCCCCTGTGCGCATCTCTGTCACCACCCGGCAATTCCAAAGCACCAGCGCCTGATGTGCGCTGATTCTCTTGGGTTGCCGACCGGCTCCTGAGATGCCGACAAAGGGATGGGAAAGGACACATGAAGGGACGGAGGAAAACCACGCACAGAGAGCAAAACTACGACATGGTCTCAGGCACACTCTCTCTCTCTCCCACTCACACACGCGCCAGGTGAGAGCCATGACGGCGGCACACACAGACGGGGATTTGACAAACAGGGAAAACAGCAGACGGCCCACACGCAAAACCCCACAATCCAATGCATGCGGCACAATAAAGACATCCCCGCGGCGCACAGAGGGCGGCCAACCCATGAGAGAGACAAAGCGATTCAGTTAAGTCGAGTCAGTCAGTCAGTCGTCAACATCTCAGCCGACACATCCCACCCACACACACACACACAGACGAGCAGCATCAGCAGGCATCGTTAGTCGTCAAACCCGCCAGCCAACCAAACCTGCACGCCACACAAACCACATACACACAGACACACAGACAGACAGTCGGCTGATTCTGTGCTGTTGTATGTCATCCATCCCATCTGTGTGTGTGTGTGTGTGTGTGTGTCTGGCCGTCTGTGTGCGTCCCCTTGGCTGCATGCTGAGAATGTCTGTCTGGTGAGGCATATCTGTCTGGTGAGGCATAGCGTGACTGACCTGTATCTTAATGGAACACGAGTATGAATAAGCCCCGTGTCACTTGATGGGCGAAATGAAGGACAGTGAGTGGTTCTGCTGGCTGATGGGTCCATATTTCAGTCAGACTCACTCGCATACACACATCGACACATCCACACCCACACACCTCTAACGATGGCTTCATCAGCAGAACACTCATTTCTTCGCACCCACCCAATAACCCCGCCACACAAACCAGAGAGAGAGAGAGACAGAGAGAGAGACCAATGACGTGATAGACCCTCTCTCTATACGTGCCTCTCTCTGTACGTGTGTGCTGACATCCTGTGACTGAATCGCCTTATGTGCATCATAGTCATCAGTGTGCGCGTCAAGCCGGCCGTACAGGCCAAAGCTACCATCCGAACACTCGACATTTCGCTCATCGGTTGTGTGGCTCATTCAGTCAGTCATATAAATAAAGCCATGCAGTCAACTCAGCCTGACAGAAACCAGTAGAACAATTCTTATCCGTCCACGACAGACAATGCAATCAGAGCACGCCACCTATTTCAAATCACTCAGTTTCCTTCCACCACTGCTCGTCAGGCAGACAGACAGACCCTCACCACCCACTAAACAGACCAGCACCCCATCGACATCCCTCACAGCACGATCCCCCTGTTGATAACGTCACTCTCCACCTTCAACCATCGCAGCACGCCCCTCCAGAAGGGCATCGACAGAGGATAGCGCTGGGTAAGCGATGCACGCGCAACAGCAGCAGGTCGCTCAGTGGTGTGCATACTGATGTCGCCCCATTCCACCCACACACAGATGGGCAGCGACGGTCTCGTTCGATCGCCAGCCGCTCACAACCACAACGTGGCAGTCGCTCGATTCCATCCAGTAGAAATGCACCCAGTAGAAATGAGCTAACTAACGCGTCACTTGTTTTTCGTGAAGACCCATTCCAACTGACGCGTCCTCGACCTGGCCTGGTGACGCCAGTGTATCGCCGGCAGGTGTGCTGGCCTGGCCATTCCCTCTACATATTACAATGGCCTCCGATGGGGGGCGATTGAGGATGTAGGGGTAGTGGGGCGGTTTCGGCAGCGTCTTCTTCTCCATTTCCCTGTTTGGATGGATGAGATGAATGCATAAGCACACACACACACAGACACAAGTAAGCGCCAGCATTGACACTTGCGCATGGGGCGGGCGAGTGCGGCTGCGTACTGGCCGAATGCTTCTCCCCGAATGGCGCTGGCCCACCACACACGCATGAACCGAACTTGGCACGACATGCGGACCACCTGCGCACACACAACACACATACGACATAAATACACATTCTCCTGTCGGCCTGTTTGCCCTGTCTGTCGGGGTTGACATAAGCTTACCGCAGCACTGAACGCCTCTTTGGCTTGGTCGTCCGCCAGGTCCCCGTTCTCTCCGAGGTGCTTCGCCACCGCGCATAGCTGCACCTGCACACACACACACCCCTACAGACACAGACAGACACAGACACAGCGCCAAGGATGGCCAACCGGCCACAATCAGCGGTAGGTACGTATGTGTCGCTCTCTCTCTCACTCCCTCTTCGTGTTACGTACGTAAGGGAGGTCTGGGATGCTGAACGCCCATTCTGGGACCGTTCCATACACGGCGCAGATACCGCGGAACACCCTTAGCCGGAGAGCGACCAGCGTGCTCCTTTTCACGCAACGGTTGCGCCACCAGCGCCGTATATACCCGCGTAGTGTGGTATAACACGAACCCATCTCCAAGCGGCGAGAGACCCCTCCAAGCGAGGCAGTCGGCCACTCAGCCAGACAACCACACCTGCAGACAGACAGACAGACAGACAGACAAACAGACATCTGCAGCACAGCACACATAGCAGAGCGGCCGTCTCACATTGTGGCGATGCTCGAGGCGTCCCTCACTCACCTGACTGACCTGACTGACTCGCCACGTGTGTGCGTCTGTGTCGCCGACCTCAGCTGATATTAAGGCAAAGTGGACGTCAAAGGACGACAGACAGACAGATCTCAGCACACAGCCGTCTGTCCGCACCGCGACGCACCGTCTGTCGCACCGAGCCGAAGGAGCCGGAGGGTTTGACGAGGGGTCAAAGGGTTTGTTACCCTGTAGCCCCACGCCATGAGAGGCCAAAGTGCGGCGTTTGTGCGCCTTAATTGTCGGACAGCTGTGCGTTGCGAGAGTGAGGCACTCGGCCGACAAGAGGGCGAGAAGAGTCCCTCGAGTCAGTCAGTCGTCCTCTCGACTGCTGCTTGACTGCTGCTGTGGGTGGCGGGCCGTTGAGCTGACAGACATCGGAGGTGAGGGAGGCCCAACACTCACTGACCGATGCGCTCATCCACTCACCTCAATGAATGCGTTGGCCTTTCTGTCTGTCTGCCTGCTCTGTCTGTCTGTCTGTCTGTGTGCCTCTCTCTCTGTGTGTCTGTCGGCCCAGCGGTGCAGTGTGGCTTAGGAGCGATGGCGGCCTCCTCTCCTGCCGCTGGTGATGGTGGTGGTGGTGGTGGTAGCTCATTGACCTCTCTGATCTGTCTATCTGAGCATCGAATGAGGTGAGCAGCACACAGATCTGTGAGCAGCGTGCTTAATGGACACAATCCTCTGTCTGTCGGCTCTGTCGATCTGTCCAGCCTCTCGTCGACCACCGCCTCACTCATCTGACCGTCTTGGCCCATCCATCCCATGCAGCACCACGAGCAGCAGCAGCACCCCGTGTCATATGTGTGTGTGGGCCGGAGGAGCCGCTACCTCCTCAGCGTCAAGGACGTCGTGCGGCTGAGGGCCACCTCCACCTGGCTCGTAGATCTCTTCGACGCGGCCCAGCTGAGAGATCGGCTCAGCCACTTGGTGGGCTCACAGGCGGGGCTGCCGCGGGCGAATGTGAATGGGCAGCAAGTGCAGTGGCTGCGGTTCGACGACGACCAGTTCGGCACACATGATCTGCTGGCGGCTGTGTGTGTGGTGGAGGAGGGGTGCTGGGGCGAGATGGCCGAGGTGATTGAGCTGGCGGGGCAGTGCGGGAACTGTGAGCTGCCTGTCATCCTCACAGCCGATGACATCAACACACATGCAAACATAACGGTGAGCCGGCAAACAGACGGGCGGGGAGGGGACAGAGAGAGAGGGCCTCTTCTCTCTGTTTGTCTGTGTGTGTCTGTGTGTGTGTAGGCGTATGTGTCGGCTCCCCGTGTGTTGGCGCAGCTCAAGATTGTCGGCCGCCACCTCCACTGCCGTGACGGCAGCTGCCTGCAGCTGTTCCGGGACGGCAATCAGTGGCGGGCCATCAACGACGAGCCCGGCTTCGAGCTGGAGGTCGACCCGCCCCTCCCTGCCGACCATCTGTACCAACAGCAAAGACAGCCACACGACCCACCGGTGCGCAGCCGGAACTTCTATTACTGGATCCTCCGCGGCGGCCGCCGATGGACGTCATTCCATGGCAAATTCACCGATGCGTCATTATCGGCATTTGCCAAGGACAAGATCCTCAACCACTTCCACCTGACTCACCTCGGCCAGAGCAACAGTACCTTCACTACACTCAACAGGTACCACACCAACGACATTAATGAGGTCGGGTCGGGCACATTACCATGAGCCATTTGTCACTGTCTCTTCAGGGGTATCGGTGGCGGCCGTGTGGACGATCTGCTCAGTGAATCGCCCCACAGACCGGTGGCCGGATGCAGCACCACATTCAGCCAGGACGGTCGTAAGCGATGGCTGATGCTCACCAACAGTAGCCACCCCTTCGTCGCATGGGTTGAGATTCGGACACTTGAAAACAACACCGGTGGGACACTTGGAAACAACACCGGTGAGAATGACAGAGAGGAAGGGAGTCTTGATTGCTGATCAATTGTCATCAAGTTTTTCTTTTCCTTGTCTGCAGTAAATGTGCGTGTCGTGACGACTAAGGCGGCTGCGTGTGAGGGTGCCGCCTTTAAACACCGCTTCCCGGTGACCACTCAGCTGGCTCGCGTGGCGTTGGGGGCGGCGGCGCCATTCATATTCGACGGACAACAACAACAGCAGCAGCAGCAACAGCAGCAACAGCAGCAGCAGCAACAGCAACAGCAGCAGCAGCAACAGCAGCAGGAACAACAGCAATGACGGTACGGACACACACACGCATGGAGGGACGGATGACATGCCCTCTGTCTCTCTGTGTGTGTGGCATAGATTCTGGCGATGGTGGCGGTGATGAGATTGATGGTGTGGATGACGGCAGTGGAGAAGGCGATGGAGGTACACAGCCGCAGACACGAAAGAGGCCCCCACGTCGACCTCCATTACAGTCATGGCTGTGTGTGTGTGTGTGTGTTGTGCCTTCGGCAGGTGAGGGTGGCGCAGCTGAGGCGGAGAGCGGCGGCTGACCGATCCATCAGCCAACACGCACTGGTGGGTGCGCAGCGATACATCCCCTCTGTCACCATGTGGCGGAGTGCCGCCCTGCCCTCTGTGTGTGTGTGTGTTATCAGGAAGGCATCTCAAGTTGGGTGCTGGCTGTTGTCATTTATCTCTGTCGCCGATCGGTTTGTTCTTCAGGGCACATCGCTCACCGCCCACTGTGTGGACCAGCTGCTGCTGCTGCTGCTGTGTGACCCAATGGCTGGCTGCCTGTGGGTGTGGGTGTGAGTACGCCTGGTGCGGTCCGGTCGGCTGCCCGCCGATTTTGATGTGACGCCCCGGCCGATGTGTGAGTGTGTTTGGCTGCCTGGCTGACTCACGTGCCGGCCATAACTCTCTCTCTCGAGGTGATTGTGTGGTGGAGTGTGTCTGCCTGTGTGTGTGTGCCGCGGGTGACGGCCGTGGATTGATCTCATCCCATTGATTGAACATGTGGCTGAGTCAGTCGATCGATCGATCAGGTTGTCAGGGTGTGCTTAGCTTTCCTATGCGCCATCAATCACCTCCTTCGCACAGACGGTTTTTGAGAGAACCAAGCACTTCTTTCCATCACCGAGACAAAACCAAGTAAGAGAGCGAATTGCCCGGCACGCACCCAGTTCCATGACGATCATCAAACTGTATGTGCTGCAGGCCGCAAAGTCCGTCATCACACCACACACACAGTCACACACACTCACACATGACCACAGACAGACCCCTCCTCTACCTACATGACCTGCTTGCGTGCACGCGTGTGATTCACTGGAAGGCAGACAGTTTATGGTTGGGTTCTTGGGCCGATACGGGAGAGGGACGAAAAGGAATCACACGCAGAGAGGCGAGAGAGAGAGAGCCGCACCTAACACAGACATCGTGTCGGCATTCCCTGTGTGTGAGTGTGTGCTTACGTACCTCTGATGTGCTGCACCACCGTGTCTGTGTCGATGAGAAGGGCTGGCGCCACAGGAGGACACACTCACTCACCAGCTGGCCATCTGCACACCAGAAAGACAGACGTACACGTGTGTCTGCGTTCACGTGTGTGTCTGGATGTGTGTCTATGTGTGGAACCTTCCTCTTGTGTTGCCACTGATGTGTCTGTGTCTGTGATCATGTATCATATTTATATTTCGACAGTCGATGGTTGAGCTGATGGACGCATGTGAATGCGCATATGATCCAGTATGTGCTCTTTACTGTGATTGTCGGCTCAAGTGGCACGTATCCTCCCCTCCTATCCCCTTGCACACACAGGCGTACCCAAATCCACCAATACAGCAAGTTCCTAGCCAGAACATGAAGTCACTAAGCCTGTCTGACACACTCTCAGTCGCTCCCACTGCTTGATGACTCGATATCGAATATGTCTGGACCGGCCTCTGCCCTACTTGGACCGGCGGCCAATGCTGGCGCAGCAGCAGGGAGAGCAGCAGAAAACAAATTTTCAATCGCTGCCTCAATCCGGGTATCTGAAACAAAGAAGACACATACACACACCAATCCATAAGTCCATGTCTCTGTCCCTGTGTCACAGACGACGTGCCTTCGGTGACTGCACACATACACATAGCGACACAGGGAGAAAGTGGCGAGTGCATTTGGATAGCCCACAGAGGTACCAAAAACTGCGCATACTGATGATCGTGGTGGTCTTCGGTTTGGCGGGCTGCGCTGTGATGGACCCTTCACTTGCCCTCTCCTTGGCGTCGCTCGGCGGCCGATTCCTCTTGCTCTTGCCACTCTTACTGCTCTTTGCACTCTTGCTGCTCTTGCCGCTCTTGACCGAGACGTTATCGTCTTCTTGAGGTTTGACAGACCTTGGGGTCATCAAACTCCTCGGGGTCATCAGGCTGTCGAAATTCTTCTGCAGAAATTGCATCCATCACACAGTACACGTCCTTGTGGTCACCCTGTGTGTGTCCCAACCTTAAGGTCGCCGTCATCGACGAACTCTCTCTTTCCCAATCTCGTCACGTGGCCAACTATAAATACACAGTCACGACGGAGACACCAAGAATCGCCCATGCAGTTGTTGGCCTGCCTCAATTACATGTTCTGTTGATGAACGGAGTGAGCAGCCCGAAGAGCACAATGGCGGCCAGCATCCCCCAGCCGAGCAGGTCGGAAATGAAGGAGGGAATGAAGGAGTATTGGTCTGGCAGCTTAGCCGCGCCCAAGCGTATGAATGGGGACATGGCGACGGCAAACATGAGGCCGACGGGGAGCCGCAGAAAGATCCTGCATGAGATGAGTCTCAATGTACAATGAATTGTGATGGACAAAATCGCCTGTCTGCTGAGCTCCACCTGAAGATGATACCGAATACGACATCGAAAGAGGCACCGAAACAGAACCACAGCTTGCCCTGGGTGCTCTTGCGTCTCTGTAGGGCCTCTGCCATCTTCTCGATTGACGCAACAATCTGGAAGAGCCAGCACCGGGGGGCAATGATCATGTCGAAGAAGCTTGTGAACAGGTGCAGGACGGCTCTGTCGAGATACGCGACGACCAGAATTCCTGAAACGCAAACAATACATGTGCGCATTCATATACGCACATGACCTACAATCCACCAGAGCATTCACTCACGAATGACAGTGATCACAAATATTTCCTGCGGCGAAAAGCCAAAGACGACAATCCACAATCACCATGCATGCAGATGAGCCCGGCAGTTATGCGTACTGGTATCTCAATCGTGCGAATGATGACTTCCACGGCGCTGTAGGTGAACAAGAAGAGCCACAGCACCTCCACTACGTTTAGAGCAAGGCACAGAAAACCCGTCATCCACTCCCACACCTGCAGGGAGGCACCATAGACACACAGAGATAGACCCAGAACACATGACCATTCGTTGGCGTGCCTACGTTGGCAATATCTAGCTGGGCGAGCTGCTCCTGGGTGAAATTAGGGTGGCAATCACCGAGCACCAGATAGCTGCAGTTTAGCCGGTCAGCCACGGAGGGACACACATGTAGTCATGTGACAATTGAAATCACTCTCAGATTCGCTTACAAGTGTCGTCCCATCATAGCTGGGTCAGCGCACCACACAAGCCGGTGCTCCAACAGCCACAGCTCGATGATACGCAGCCGATTGGCCAAAGCCGACAGTGCAAAGGAAGTGAAGATATAGACTGCGATGAACCTCGCGTCAAAGGGATTCTCCGTTGAGTCGTCGAATCCCTCTTTGAGCACATCAGCCAGCTCCTCGATCTCCCTGAAAGAAAAGGAGACAGAGACACGCAAATGGGCAACTGGGTGGTTGTGCTCTGTTTATTCCTTGACCGTGACTGACCTGGCTTTGAATAATCTGACGATGTAATCGCTGGTCTTATTGACATCAAAGAGGGCTTCGTAGGCCACAACTTGCAGAACCAACGCCACAAGGCAGAGGATGAGGGGAAACATTTTGCTGATCTTAACCTTAAATTGCCTGCACACATACATACATACAGACAGACAGACAGGGAGAAAGCGAACACACGGGGGCAGACAGGTGATGAAACGATAGGTGGCCATAAATTCCATTCGACGTGTGTGTTTCCATGCAGTGAGTCACCCACCCCTTCATTCTTATGCCGGGGACCACCTGCCAACAAACATAAGAAAGGAGACATCGAGAGACACACATCACCGTCGTGTCAGGGAGGTACCGCCTCACCGCGTAGGCGCCGTAGCGGGCTATCCAGGCCAACCCGAAGATGTCTGTGTAACATCAAGTCCTTCTCTCTGTCGGTGTCCCGTGTGTTCCTGTCATCCGCTGCCTACTGTGTGTGTGTACCTTGTGCCAAGGGAATAGCTCTCACGACAGTCCTGCAGCACGATCGATCAGACAGACCCAGCCGATGTATGCAGTGTCTCATGCGAGCGCACCTCTCTTTGAGTCTCGTTTCGATGAATTCCTCCCTCTCAGTCCTCACTGAGGGTTCGGATGGCTCGACGGGTTCGGGTTGTGGCCCCGGCCTCATACACAGACACCTCAGACATCGGTCAGCTAGTCTCTCGCGGCCCTCCGGAGAGCGGCACCACCAGCAGCCACAACACACACCGACCAATATGAGCACCGTCGCGCCAGCCAGGATGGCAATAGACGCCCACGTCTCGACGCACCAAGCTCGCTTGTTTGAAGAGAGTCCCCAAAGTATAAACCAGGCTGAGTCGCAGTCCCGGTCGTCTTCTTTGTCTTCGGGGGATGCGAAAGCGAAATAGCTCGGCTTCAGGTCGGCTGGCGTGAGGTCAGCGACGGTGACTGATCGCCCCGGCGCCATTTGGATAACGACACTACCTGGCGATCATTGTTCGGAGGCAGAGAGAGAGGAGACGAGATGGGTTCCCCGCTCAGCCATACCTCTTACCGTTGCTGACGCGAGACATGAGGGCTAACATGCTCGTGATGTCCCTGAAGGCACTGAGGTCCAGCACATCATTGCTGCCAGACCCTCTGTCGAATGATGGCACGGTCACGTCTCCAGCCACGTTAGATATCACACTGAAGACAGGACAGGCAGAGGAAGGGTATGCTATAATCACACGCACACAGAGAGGGTGAGTGGGCTGACTCACAAAGTGTCTGCTCCCGCATTGCCGATCAACACTGAACCAACACACGAAGGGACGAGGGGAGCAAGTGTCTCTGTGTATGGGTGGGTACGCGTCAACTCACCGTCCAAGCCGCCTCCAGTGACAATGACATCATTCCCCGCCGCGCCGGTAAGCGTGTTGGCCCGTGAGTTGCCCCTCAGCACATCATCAAAGCTCGTGCCCTCGACATCGGTTATGGGGCTGCCCTCTGTCAGCGTGATCCGCTTGCCATACCTGGCACGCGAACAAGTCACTGTCGTGGCCGCCGGCATGCGGCAAACCACAGTAATGTCCTCCGTCTGTCCCTCTGGGTTTTCGATCCTAATGTGACCAGCTGCCAAGAACTCGGAAATATCATCTGACGCACGACATAGACAGCAAGGGGGTTGAATGCGGCACCTCAATCTCACATAGGTCGTCTGACTCACTTTGAACAACAAGCATGCCGGCTGGCACGGTGAAGAGAGTTGGGTCGTCATGGTCACACGCCTCAGGAGGAGGAAATGGTGTGGTCATCGACTCGAACGTCTGATATCCGCACCTGCACAACCCGTGGTACCACATGCCTGTATGCCTTATCTGTGCCTGCGCGATTCTCTGTTACCAGCAGAGGAAGAAATCCCCTTCTCTTCTCGGTCTTTTGTTGCCGATTTCATAGGTTCTTGAGTTTGCCGATCCGCTAATGGCGATCGCGACGTCCTGACTGGCCCCGAAGAGACCGTCAGGGCTGACCTCGGTCGGGCTGTCACATGACGTCGCAGACACCAGGATACTGTCCAGCTCGTGCAGCCCTGGACGTCCACCGAGACACAAGTCCAGCCATGACACGCTGATGCCAATCAAGGCCGCCTACCAGTCCCTGTGACGGAGATGGGACAGTCTTGCCGGACAATACAGACAATATCGTCAGTGCCACTCGGCCCTGTATTTTTGTGAAGACAAGCATTCAATGAGTGTGGCGTCACCATCCCACCGAGCAGCATTCTCGCCCATTCTCATGAGTACCGTAAATTGTCAGGCTGCCAGCTTCAGCGATGAAGTCCCCTGGTCGTGCATCTGGATCGCACGGGCCTTTACACCTGCACACACACACATTAGATATGCACAGATACAAGCATCCACCCGCCCAGCAGCAGACTCGTGCCCCTACAAACACACATACCAACACAGCGAGAGGCTTGCGACGCCCTGCTTGGCGATGCCGAACTCATATGTGAGCCCATCCCCTCCAGATGCTGTTGCGACGTCAACCAAGTCGGCTCCACCAAAATAGTTTTTCGTTGGCGATGCGCAGCCGCCAGCAGAAAGCAGCATCGTGTCGCCGTCCGTCAGACCTGCAAGCGGGCAGCAGAATTCGAAGCGAGTAATGAATGCTACCGCTGATGAGTGGATCCACTTTCTGTGTGTGAATTCACACCTGTGCCTGCAATTGTGACGGTGCAATTTCGGCCAGCGACGCATGTGATATCTGCATTGCCATCAGGCCCTGTCCACACAGACAAGAGACACGTAAAGTATGCAATGGTGGGCACGGTTGCATCTTCTGCACGTACCACTGACAGTGATTGTGCCTGCTTCGATCCCAAAATTCAACTCTGAATCGCATGCAGCCCCCTTTGGACACCTGCACGGAAAGATAGACGGCAGCGAGACTGCTGAGCAGCTGGAGGATTTCACTCGTTTGGCTGACCAACACAGGTACAGTGGATCAAGTCCCATATAAAGGGGCCTGCCGAAATGAAAGTAAACCAAACAGTGCCCTTCTGTGCTCTTGTGAGTATCTGTGGGTCATACCGTCCGAAGTCATACGTCTCTCCGCTCCCGCCCGACGCCAATGTGGTGGAGTTCTCCACAACGGTGATATTGGTGCAGTTTGTTGGGGAAACCACCATCGTGTCTCCATCGGCCAGACCTGTGCAATTCACAGACAGACAGACAGACAGACAGGCAGACAGACGTTAACAAACGAGAACAGACAGCGAGGACGGAACTTGAGCATGTGTACCTATGCCCTCCACATTGATTATGCACTGCTTTCCGGCGGCGCAGGCCCAGTCCCGGTACAGAGGGCCTGATTGCACCCAGTGCATTCCTTCGTGTCTCTCCTCACATGCATGTGGCATACCATTCACAGTCAGACGACCTGCAGGGACTTTGAACAAACCGCTGTCACTAGGAAAGGAACACTCCGCCGACAAATCGTCTTTGTATCCGCACCTACACACGCACAAACCCACACAGGTCCCCTTCCTGCGAAGGCCGTGCCCGATCGCCCACTTCACCAGCAGAGGTGGAATGCGCCTGCGAGTCGCGGCCTTTTGCTGCCTATTTCATAGGTCTGTGAGTTGGGTGTTCCGCCAGCAATGGCGGTGGCCAGGTCCTGACCCCACCCAAACAGGCCGGGAAAGCTGACTTCAGTCGCGTTGTCACATGGGGTCGCCGACAGCAGAATAGTGTCATTCTGGTCTAAAGCTGCAGACAGCTCGATGGAGACACACGAGTCGATGGACTTGCATTTCGAACGGATGTATGTACCGATTCCTTCGATGATAATGGAGCAGTCCGTTGTGGCACTGCACTGGTAGGTGGCTGTCTTATCGGGGCCTGCTTGTGACAAAGGGGGAGGGAATCGAGCGCGTTGCATCACTCCTCACCCCGCACTGTGAGATTTCCGACAAACGTGTCGAAGCTCGGGATTCCGGCCTTCGACCAAAAGGGGCAGAAAGTGACGTTCCCGGCACACCTGAAAGCAGCAAGTCAATCCGCCCTCCTGTGCCTTCGTGACTTGGGGACTCACCAGCAGAGATCATAGACGCCGACTGCGTCCCCCGTGAGAATATTACTTGAGAGGATCTTCAGCGGGTCATATTCAGAGCCTTCGTCGTTGGTGGGCAACAGGATGCCATCGTATGGGACGGCCACTCTGACTGGCGGAGCACATGGGCTGCCAGCACTCCTCTTGGACACCACAATAGAGTTGATTTGGTCCAGATCTGAAAAAGAGAATTGAACCTCAGGAACAATCATGCCTGTGACCTGTTTGTCTGTCGCACCTGTCCCATTGAGGCTCAACACGCATTCCTGAAAGGGAGTGCACACATGGCCCTCAACGTCCGGGACAGCATCTGAGAAGAACAACCAAAAACAGCTGGGTTCAATTGGCTGCAGTACTTCAGCATTATTGCTTGTACCTGTCCCTTGCTGGGCGCCAGCGAACAGCGCAAGGAAAAGAAGGAGCATTTGATGTTTCTTCTTGGGGCAAGGTGGGGGCGCCGAGCTTAGCTTGCAGTCTCCTTCCCCTTTCCCCTCTCCTCCCCTCATGGCCGATCTGCTGATCGACCCGAAGGACCTCACTGTGAGCGACAAGGAGCTCGGTCAGCATTATTCACCGCCCGGCCCAGGCTGAGGGCATTGGCTGAACGGATCATGTGTTTGTCATGCGGGTTCCTCAGGGAGTGGCGGCTTCGGTATTGTTCGTCGAGGGGAGCTCCGAGGGCGGCCCGTGGCTGTCAAAATCTACAAGGGCCATGAAGAGCTCGACCGAGAGGTACATGCTCAGAAGACGCCTCCCCGCTGTCGGTGCGCATCTTTGTGTTTGTGTGCAGTCGCAGTTCATGGAGGTGCTGCGAAAGGCCCTCCCGATGACCAAACTCGATCACCCCAACATAGTGCGGCTGCTGGGCGTCTGCAGAGACGACAAACACGGCCTCATGACCGTCATAGGTAGTCAGTCTATTCTCCCCTTCGTCCATCCGCCTTGTCCCTTCTGGTGTCTCTGCCGTCGTTCTCATCAGAGTTGTGTGAGGGCGGCTCTCTAGCGTCCTACCTGGCGAGCCACGGACCGCTGCCACTCGATGTGCGAGACAAATTCACCAAACAGGTTGAAAGGGAGCATACATGCAGAGGTCTCTTGTGTCTCCGCCTAGAGATGTGTGTGTATGTTGGTCACAGATCTGTGAGGCCGTGAAGTATATGCATGACAACCACATCGTCCACAGAGATTTGAAACCCGAGAACATACTGGTCGGCCACGATAGAGATCCTCCTATGAGAGGTTCAGACTTTTTGTTGTCTCACTCATCTAAGTTGGATGAAGGCCACAACATCAAACTGTCGGACTTCGGAATGATTCGCAGCGCACAGAGAAAGACAACGCTCACCGCTGGTAGTCACACACAGACCAATGTTTGCAGTGCGGCTCACGAGAGCAGAAATGACTCATGTGCTGCAGTTGGAGGGACTCCCAACTATATGCCGCCCGAGGGCTTCGACACAGATCGTAAGCAAAGCGAGTCAATGTCACTGGCTGGAGGGTCTTACTGCTATGTCGTTCAGTGGACAAGCTGACTGCCAAGGCGGACATTTGGGCTTTGGGCGGCAGTAAGCAAGCCATGCCACACACAAGAGAGACATGTTGCAAGCCGCTACTTCATCGCCTCTTTCTTGTCCATTTGTGTATGTGTGCGTCTTCAGTACTCGGGGAGATTCATGGAGGTCAGCAGCAGATCCCCTGTGACACTCCTCATAAGAACAGCGGCCACGACATACTCTGAGTGCAGGTCGGCCTCCGTTTGAGGGAAAAGTTATGGCGCAGATCAGTCGAAAGGTCGTCAACAAAAAAGAGGTACTCGATTCGCCTCATTAGACTGCCTCGGTCTTATTCATTCACTCGTGTCTCCCTTCGTGTCAGATTCCTGATATTCCGGCGTCTCTGCCGCCGCACATCAAGACTGCCATCAAGGCAACCGACAACAGAATGGGTATCCATGATCTTTCTCTCTCTTCCGCTTTGCGTCCATCAGATGTGTTTTGCCTACAAAACCGCCAATCGTCCGACAGCCAAACAAGTCAGACACACGAGCAGATATTTCCCATCTCTTTGTCGGGCCTTGCTGCTCGTCCCATTACAGGTCCTCGACAAGTTGCGCATCTCGTCTTCGTCTGGAAGTCAAAGCGGGAAGGCAGCTGACTCGCCGGCACCGCGATTCCGCTGAGGATTCTTTCGCGGGACGGGCGAGAGCTTTAGAGGTAATCATTGATGCGCGGCTCCTCTCTGCTGTAGACGTCTTGCGGTCAAATGCAGGCACTGCGTCATCTCCTGGCGGCCATTCGTCGGGTGTGCACATGAGCACGGCCAGCACCACAACGGGGCCGCCAGCAGTGTGGCCAAGACCTCTCAGCCGCCCTCGCAGCACATTGGTCGGCGAGACACACACACACAGAGACGCACACAGGGCCACACCATCCGATGCTCTGTGTGTCGCGCAGTGCCCCCCGCCCAGCAGCCGTCAGTGAAGACACCGCCGAGGGCCCCACAGCCGCAAATTAAACACGTAAGGGAGACAGCGACTGAATCCCACACGTCAATGGGCCGCTCTTCTTGTGCTGGTTGTGTGGCAGACGGACATCTTTGAGGCCGCCAAGTTCGGCGATTTGTAGTCCGTCCGTTTGTTCATCGAGCGAGACGGCAAGGACATACTCGACAAACGAGAAAGCAGCGGGGTGTGGAACAATTGTGAAGCCGACAGGAATGCCCTCAGTGGTCTGTCTGTGTGTTCTCATTTCTGCAGTGGACACCCTTCATCGTGGCTGCAGCTGAGGGTCACGTGGGCGTCATGTCGGTCATGTATGAGAGCAAACCTGACGTACTGCAGCAAACAGACAACCAGGTACCGACACAGACAAACCATCTTTTGTGCTGCTGCTGATGAGGAGGAGATGTGTGTTGGCCGTGATGCAATGCAGCTTGGTAACACTGCCCTGCACCGGGCTGCCTGGAGTGGTCGTGTTGCGGCGGTCAATAAGCTGATGGAGTGGGATCCCAAACTGATCGATGCACGCAACAAGGTGACAGAGCACACACATGCCTCTGACGCCTCAGTGTGTCGATTGTGTGTGTGTGTGTGTTTTGATTGCAGTATGGCTGGACGCCATTCATGTCGGCTGCCTACAATGGCCATGTCGATGTGTTGGAGGCTCTGTATGCCAAACGAAAGGACCTGCTCACACAGACGAACAACGTGAGACAACACAGTCTTCTCTCACTGCTTGATTGCCTTTCGTCTGTGTGTATGACACAAACAGAATGGAAACACGGCACTTCATTGGGCTGCACGGGATGGCCACTCTACGGCTGTGTCTCAGCTGTGGGCGACACAGATGACTGACTGACGCGAACATCTCATCCACACTCTCTCTCTCTCTGTGTGTGTGTGTCATTCTCAAAGGCTCGAGTGGGGCGGCGGTGCGCTGCTGGACATCAAAGACAATGAGGTGAGTGCCCACAGACATTCACACCATCGATGGGCTGAGCGGTGTGCTCATCTCATCTCATCACAACAGGGGTACACGCCGTGGGACGAGGCGGCAGAGTTCGTGATTTCGGAAAAAGAGAAGAAGAAAGCCGAGATAAGAGAGATCATGCAGAAGTACAAGCGATAGGTTCTTCTGGTCTGATGTGTGTGTGAAGTGTGTAAGGCCTTTTTCGTCTGTCCAGCTTGGTTTACCTGACAGACAGCAGCTGCCACTTTTGTGTTGCGGTGCAGAGAGATCAAAGGGCAGCGGGGGAGATGAGTGTGCTATGACCTGATGTGTGTGGTGTGCCTTTCTGTCTATGTGGTGTCTTTGTCGGTTCCAGTTGACGTGCAGGTGTCTGCTTCGGTGCTCGTTGGGGTAGGCTGTGTGTGTCTGATTGCGCGCGAAGTGCCTGGCTGCCTGCCTGTCTGTCTGTCTGTCTGACTTGTGTGTTTGAGTGTGTGAGTGTGGCAGCTGTCCGATGGCCGAGTCTGTGTCTGTCTGGATCGTGCTGCACTGCATCACATAAACCCCGCAGACAGACCACACCCACCTCTATCCCCAGCCAGCACTTTTGGTTGACCCAAAAGGGCAACAGTCAGCTCATTGTGTTCACGAGTGTGGCGGGCAAGACAGGCAGGTTTCGCTTGAGCATCCACACACCTCCTGTCAAGAGCGACCGGAGACACCCACTCGTGAGGAGGGGGGCTACGTGAAGTGATCAGTCAGTCTGTGGTGTGGGGCCTCTGTCTGTCACTCTTGTGGACTGACTGCGAAGTGTGTCGTTCTGCAACACTCATACCAATGCACATCGCGCACATAGCAGGACCCAGGACACCCAGCTGTGCACTCTGTTCTCTCCCCTAGAGTCGTCTGGTCGGCGAATGTCGGGTTTGGTTAATTTGGCTGTTTTGGCGGCTGAATCTATGGGAGCGGTCAGACAAAGCCGCCGAATGGTTTGACTGTCTTCATCAAACCCATGTCTCACTGTTGTCTCTCGCCCATCAGTCAGTCACTGCCGTGTCTGTCCGTCCTGACATTTCCCTCGGCCATCCGAACGCAAAACAACGCAGTCAGTCAGTCAGGCCATCTCGGTCTGTCTGTCTTCTCACATCCCATTTCTCTCCGCCGTCTTTGGTGTGCGGCATTTTACTCACTCACTCACAGGCACACAGTCCACACAAATGGCCGCCGGCCTGTCGTATGAAACTCTCTCTCTCCCTCCCTCTGCGTCAAAGGAACAACTGAATGTCTATGTGTATATGGGTGTCTCTGGGTGTGGCCGCCTAATGGCTGTGGCTGTGTCCGTGGCTGTGTCCGTGGCTGTGTCCGTGGGAGTGTCCGTGGCTGTGGTCTGAGTGAGGGAAAGGGGCACACAGACAACGACGGAGTGGCTGAGTGGTTTGGTTTGGGCTGTGCTCGTCAACTTACCGTGGGCGCCTTCGTCGCCGTAGTTGTGCACATGAGGTTTGCCCACCTGCACACACAGAGGGAGATGGCCACAGGTGCATGTGTGTGTGTGTGTGTGTACGAGTTTGAATAGGAGGAAGCTGAAGCACATGACGGCACACCCAACGCACACCAAAATCGACGACACGCGATTGCCTGACCTCACACACACACACAAAAGCCCATGTGTGTGTGGGTCACATGGCCACATCTGTCTGTCTTTGTGTGTGTGTGAGCACCCGGGTCGTATGAGTAGGCCGATGGGATGAGGCCGAAGACGGCGATGGCCACCATCGTCCCCACAGTGAAGGAGAACAGACAGCCAAACAGCAAAACCGACAGGTGCGGCATCAAAATCAAATACGTCAGCACTGCCGCCAGCGGCTGCACTCACACACACACACACACACTGGTTCGTCTCTCTGTCTCTCTGTGTGTGTGTGTGTGTCGACCGACCTGAGTGGCCCCCACGGCGAAGGCGATCCAGAAGGCCTTGCAGGCACTGCCCGACCCGTAGTACTGCACCCACACACACACACACACACTTCTCTCTCTCTCTGTGTGTGTGTGTGGGGGGGGGTGTGGTGTGTGTCATACGATGGGGATGGCGATGGCGATGCCGGCGGGTACGTTGTGGAGAGCGATGGCGAGGGCAACACCGATGCCCAACTCGGGAGACGCCACCGCAGCCATGAAGGAGGTGATGCCCTCAGGGAAGCTGACACACACACACAGAGAGAGAGAGAGATGCACACACACGTATGCTGCAGTCGCGTCTGTCTCTCTGACGGTCTGTCTCATTTACTTGTGCAGGACGAGGGCGAGGGCCGTGAAGATGCCTTAATTGACAACGAGTGGGAAGGTCGATGCACACATTAGTCAGACACTCACTGTCGACCGTTGGTCTGTCTGTCTGCCTACCGGTGAGCTGCAGACCCTTGCCCTTGTCGCCGTGATCTACACCCATCCAATGCACACCCATCTAGCCCTTTACACACACTGGGAGATGTCAGCTCACTTACCGTGGGCGTGGTCGTGGGCGTGGGCGTGGCCGTGGTCATGGTCGTGTTTCTTCTCTGTCTCGAGAGGGGGGTTGACGTTGCCCTCCTGAAACATGCTGGTGCGCCGCCTGGGCCTCTCGGCCTTCATGTCGAAACAAATCGACCCAGTCCGGCTTCCGGGCTTGGCGTAAGCCGACAGGCTGCACACACACACATTCGGCTCAAGGAGTCAGTGGTCTGGACGAGTGTTTGGAGACCGTACGCACCGTTTCATGGTCTCCGGCACTTCGGGGTGGTCGTGTTTATGTTCATCATGCTCATGGGCGTGGGAGTGGCCGGCGCACTGGAACCCCAGGAACCTGCACAACGCACCACAACGTAGCACAGCACAGTGAGCACACAGCAGCACAAGAGATGAAGGAAGAGACATATGTGTGTGGTGAGGGAGCAGAGATCCCATTAATCTTTACCTGTGGAGAATATACTCGAGGAGGGGCGTGATGATCATCCCAACGGAGAACAGCAGGAAGACGTAACTGAGAGACGACAAGATTACTGATGGGTTCGTTCATGAGGGCGAGCTCAGCTCAGGTCACTCACAGTGATGCGTATGGCTCCTTGACGCCTCCAAGATCCATGTGCTCCGCCGCCTCGGGCCTGCACAGATACACACCAGACATATATACGAGAGAGCATTACATGGTGGATGGAGACATGAAGGCATCAGATAGTATGAGTACATGATTTCGAGGAAGGCCACGTAGAGCATCACGCCGGCTCCCAGGCTCACGCAGCCGGCAAACACCAAAGGGTTGAACTCTGACCAAAGCCGGGCACAATGAATGAGGGCAGGGAATGTCATGTCTGTCTCAGATGCAATCCATTGTGGGTTGGTATACCTTTGATGCAGAAGGTCAGACTCGCCCCCACTGCAGTGGCCAGCCCGGCAACTGTCGTCGCAAGGATGCCCATCAGCGCATCTGCAGGGGCGATGAACCCACGGTGCAGACTTCCGTCTCCATGACGTTATCCACTTGGTTTCGCTTACTGAATGTGCTGACGCCCTTCTTTCCGCCTCCCTTTTTCTCCTCGGGGGGTTTCTCCTCGTGGGCTTCCAGCTCGTGGGCATGCTCGTGACCGTGGTCGTGGGAATGAGTGTGATCGTGGTCGTGGGAATGAGTGTGCCCGTGGTCGTGCGTGTGGCTATGGGGCTCATCGGGCATGATGGCGGCGTCATGCATGCCGTCGCTCAGTGCAGAGACGCTGCCAAGGGCCTGCAGGAAGTCCGACTCGAGGGCTGCGTCGTGCGGCCCGACGGTGACAACATAGGGGGTCCATGCAGTCAGGCAGAAGACGGCCGCACTCAGCCGCACGAGAGACATCCTTACCGCAACTTGAGGGCTCAACTGAGAAATGGGGGCCAAACCCTCAACTCAATTTTGCAAGCTCGCACTTTGCAGATCTCCACACACGCACACAAAAAAAGCACAAAAGCGTGTAGCCCTATGCCTTGACGTGCTTCACAGCCGCTCACACGTCGACTAAGTGCAATCCAGCTGACACATAGTCCATCTGCCGTCATGCCGGTGTCTGACGAGCAGCTGCTGCCCAAGGAGGCCGACAAGGAGGACCCCATCGCCAAGAAGAATGCTGCCGTGGCACGCAAGCTGATCCTCGCATCTGTCATTTGCGTCAGTCAACCCAATACATGCGCAGTCCAACAGCCAACACAAGGGCTCTTCTTGTGTGTGCGTGCGCGTGTGTGTGTGTGCGCAGCTGATTTTCATGATTGTTGAGATCGTGGGAGGTTTCCTGGCGCACTCGCTGGCTCTTATGAGCGACGCCTCACACATCCTCTCAGATCTGGCCTCGAACCTCATCGGGTAGGCCGCCGCCGGATGCGCTCATGACCGTGGCGGACACAACAGGGGCTCGGCTGTGTGCGTGTGTGTGTGTGTGTGTGTTGTTGCAGTTTGTTTGCCATCTGGTTGGCGAGTCAGAAGGGTTCGACCACAATGTCGTTTGGTTATCACCGCGCTGAGATCCTCGGCGCACTCGGAAGCGTTTTCATCATCTGGGGCGTCACCGGTGAGTGAGAAGGAAGAGTAAGCCATCCCTCCATCCATCCAGCAGTCTTGTGTGGTGTGGAATGGTGTTTGTGTGGTAAGCGTGGCTGTTGTATGAGGCTGTTGACCGCGTCGTCCACCCCGCTGTGGTCGACGGCCAAATCATGTCCATCACGGTCGGCTGCTGACTCAGTCGCACTCAGTTGCTGGACGCACGGAAATGTCTTGTGGTGTGGTGTGCAGGCGCTGATTGGTGTGGCGGTCAATCTCATCCTCACACAAGTGCTGCAGACACACAGGTCCGTCGAACCCGCCACACACAAACACACACATCCATCCACACGCAGCACCTGTCTGTCTGTCTGTCTGTGTTGACCTGCCCGCAGTCACGGCATCGGTCACACTTGCCACGGACACGACCACGGACATGCTCATGATCATGGGCACAGCCACGGACACGCACACCATGAGCATGGCACCCATACACGCGATGAGGGCGGCAAGATAGAGGTCAAGGTGCATGAGCACCACGACAGCCATGACCACAGCCATGACCACGCCCACGACCACAGCCACGACCACGGCCATCAGGACAAGAAACAGCAGAAGAGCATGAACCTGGATGTCAGTGAGACAGAGACAAAGAGAGGGAGGGAGGGAGGGAGGGAGGGAAGACACTGACGTCTGTGTGAGCACTTGTGTGTCCGTCTCTCTCTGTGTGTGTGTGTGTGTGTGTGTGTTTGCCAGGCTGCGTACATCCACGCGCTGGGTGACCTGTTCCAGAGCCTCGGAGTGCTCATCGCCGCCCTGTGCATCTGGTCAGCCATCCCAACACACAACACCAACACGCGCACATGTGCCTCTCTCTCTCTCCCTCTCTCTCTCTCCGTGCGTGTGTGTTAAGGTACAACCCCGAGTGGCATTTGGCCGACCCCATCTGCACCTTAATCTTCTCGGTATGCATTTTTCTGTGCTGGGCTCGTGCACTGCCATCCATCCATCCCTCCAGCCACCCTGTGTGCGTCTCGGTCTGGTGTTAGGCGTTCGTCATGTGGACCACTACCGAGATCGTCAGAGAGGTACCTACCGACACATACGCCTGCTGTGTGCAGGCACATGTGTGTGCCGCATGTGTGGGCCAATCAACCAGGCTGTCAATATTTTGATGGAGGGCACTCCCGAGCACATCGACCTCTCACAGCTGCAGCTCGACCTTAGCAACATCAAGGGAGTCGTGTGAGCAACACGCATACACACATACACACACACAGAGAGAGAGAGAGAGAGGCGAGCTGAGACCCAATTGCAATTGCTGCGTATGTGGTGTCATGTGTGTGTGTGTGTGTCAGTGACGTGCACGACCTTCACGTGTGGTCCCTGTCCGTCGGCAGCCCCGCACTCGCTGTCCACATTGTCGCTGGTCAGCTCTGCTGTCCTGTGCTGTCCTGCGTGTGTGTGTGTGTGTGTGTGCATCTGTCGTCTGTGTGTCTGTCCATCAGGCGAGGAGCCGATGGCCCGTTCCATTCTGGAGTCTGCCACGGCCGTCTGCCAGTCGAAATACGACATCCTCCACACCACCATACAGGCACACACACACACACCGGGGGGCTATCCATGTGTGTGTGGAGATGTGTTGACCATGTGGTTTTGTTGATGTGATGGTGCAGGTGGATTTTTCGATGGGCCAGGAGGAGTGCGGCACGACGGCCCACATCAAGTGCCACGATTGAATGGCGGAAGCGGCCCATGAACGGGGAACAGCAACCGAGCCGTCCAGCAGTGTAGAAGATATCATCTGGTAGCGTCACGCATCAAGTAGTACCTACTTGGATGTGACTGACAGACAGACAGACGAAAGTGTGTGTGGGCGGGGGGCATTTAAGAGTGGCCGGCCGGCTGACTGATTGCAATTGGTTGATGGTTGTATGGGTTTGGTTTGAGGGCCGACAGGGGCCCACACTAGGGGCATAGGCCGTCCGTACCCACCCCACCCCACCCCCGCCTGCCTGCCTGCCTAGCTGCCTTCCCGTTTCTACGTCTGTGCATATGTGTGTGTATATACCCATCCATCCGTCCACCCAGCGATAGATGAGAATGATTCACACTAGGGCGTCTTCTGTCTGTCTGTCTGTCTGTCTGGCCGAGGAGGGTGAAGGGGGTGAGAATGTGTTGTGGCGTGGTGTGCGTAGGGAGGGAGCAGTGGGTTGTGGCTGCGATATCGATTGGTTGAGGCATCACATCATGCTTCTCATCACTCACTCACTTGTTCGGCTTTGAAGGATCATCCATCCATCCATCGGTGAGTGCAGTCTGGTCTGATGGTTTTGTGTTGCACACACACACACACACACAGACAGACAGACAGACAGACAGACAGGTCCAGCGAGTTTGGAATGAGTAAGACGCGCAGTGATGAATTAAGGCGGTGTGACCGGCCACTGATCATGACTCGCGCAGCAAACTGTCATCAAGCCTGCATGCGCTCACACACTCACACGCACACATGAAACTGATCAGTCCTCTCTCTCTTTCTCTCTCTGTCGAAAACACCCCAGAGTCAATCGCCTCTGCACACAGCAATGAAAGCATTGCAGACGAACGATGCGCATATCGACACGACCCCCCCCCCTCCCCCCCTGCAGCTGTCCTGCTTGTCCATCTCTCTCTTTCTCTCTCTCTCTCTCCATCTCAACGCAAAAAGTGTGTCTCAGTGGGTGGAGTTATGAGAGCGTGCATATTGCTAGGCAGTAATCCACATCAAGATCGTTCAAGATGCAGCCACACAGACAGACACAGGCAGACAGACAGACAGACACAGGCAGCACACAGGGTGATATCGCCTTAGCTATAGCATCAGGCCAAGCAAGGAGGGACGTACAAAACCATTCTCTTCCTCTCTCCATTCAGTGTGTGAGGCACACACACATACCTACCCTCACGCACAGACAGACAGACAAAGACACGACGGCACAGGACAGCACTGACAGACAGACGCAAAAAGCGATGACACCGCGCCCACACACCCACACCCACAGCCACACCATACAAAACTCGCCTGCCTTCATTCATGCGACATAACCTGCAGCACACCGACATGACCAATAAACGTCACCTCAATCAATCAGTCAGTAGCGGCCCCTACCCCTGCTCACATTCACACACACACACGCGCGCGCACACGCACACGCACACGCACACGCACACGCACACGCACACACACAGAGAGGGAGAGAGATGCATTGTTGTGTGTGAATCCGTCGGAGATGCAGTCAGCTGGCTCACCCATAGTCGTCGTGGCCGCCTCCGCCCCGTCTGTCATGGCCATTGCCGCCACGGTCGTACTCCCCGCCGCCTCGCGAATAGCCATACTCACGGGAATCCCGGTCATTCCTATCACACCACACCACACAAATGTCAACACACACATGCAGCCGTGTGTGTCCTGTTACTGACCCCCTGTCATTGTATCGATAGTCCCGGTCGTCGCGCCCGCCGCCATAGCGGTCATACCGCTCATATGGACCACTGCACACACACACACACACACGCACACACGCACACACGCATGCATCTCTCTCTCTCTCTCTCTGTGTCTGTGTGTGTGTTTGGGTGACGAACTCACTCACTCTGCTTACTTGCGGTAGTATCCATTGGTGCCCCTGCTGTCTCGGTCGTATCCACGGCTGTCAGCCAGGCAGGCAAACAGCCACCACCAACTAATAGATTCCGCTGGCTGGCTGGCTGGCTGGCTGGCTGTTTACATACATACCGGTCTCTGTCGTCCCGAGTTTTTCTGGCGACGGCCCACTCCACCGATATGTCCCCCAGTCCCTCAGTCCGCAGCTTGCCGCCGTCCCCCGCTGCCTCGGACAGGATGCGCTCCACCTCATCGCGGCTGCCGTAACGCACAAACGCAAATCCCTAATGACACACACACACGCGTGCAAACAGGCAGACAGACAGACAGACAACACCCATCTCTCCCTGTGTCTGCCTGACTTTGTGAGGGCTGTTTGCCTGCCTATCTCTCTCTCTCTCTCTCTCTCTCTCTCGTGTGTGTGTATGACTGTGTGTGTGTCTTCACCTTTGCAAGGGACGTGCCGTGCACTTTGGGTATATAGACGTCCCGCACCTGGCCGTACTTGCCGAACGTCTGCCGCAGCATGTCGTCATCGATGTGGCTCGGCAAAGGGTCGATCTTTATCGAAAACAGACTGTCCACATCTGCCGGCGGCGACATCCGACCACCAAAGCCCTCCTGCGGACCCGGTGCACCGTTCTCACGGCTGTTGTTGCCGTCATGCTCCGCCTCGCGCTCACCTGACAGACACACATACACAACAGACACAACAGGGGAAATGCATGTGCACTGTGCATTGCCGCATGATGGAGATGGGCTGCTCAGCACTCACCCATGTCTGCTGCGCCGTGCAGATCTGTCAAGGCGGCTCGTCAGATAATGGCCACCAGCCACTAAGACGACCTCAGAGGCCAACAGGGCTTCCCGTCAGGCGCCAAAAGAGGCGAATTTGAGGCGATCGCCTCTGCAAGCCAAGCTCGCAGACCGATCGAAGTGGGAAGTAAGAAAGAGTGTGAAAGATGCAGGCGATGTTGGGTCACATATCGGCGTTGGTGCGGAGCATCGCCTCGTGGGCGTTCCTCTCCCTCGTCATACAGGAGATCAGAAAGGCGCCGCTTGCCGTCATGGGCACGGGCGCCAGCTACAGGCCTCGTAAGCAGCAGCACACTGTCAGCAGGCATGAGTGGGATTCATCGCTTTGTGTGTTTGGTGGTGCGGCAGCATCTCAGAGAAGTCGGCCGCGGCCACCATCTCACGGTGTGCTGCTGTGCCAGGAGGCTGCAGAGGGGCTGCTGGACGTCATGGTCAGCTTTGCATTCCAGATGCATTCATATTTCTGCCATGTTTCTGTCTGTCTGGCGTTTGTCACATGCAGATGAGCATATGGGTTGACCCGGTGACCAACGAGAGGACGCTCACTTATGTGCCCATGGCAAACACCACCAGCAGCAGCCTGAGGGGAAACCGGAAGAGCGATGGATTGGGAACTGTCCAGTCGGTGGCTGCTTGTGAGGGACCCGCTGATCACTGCCTTGAAAGGTCAGTCAACCACATTCAGGTAGACGCGCACACGCAAACGATACACTGCGTGTGGGAGGTCGATGGCTTCAGGTTGCGTCATCCGTCTTTGGTGTCGTCGTCATGTGCCGACCTGGTCCCCCTCTGCCGCTGCTCGCCGGCCGATGTGACCGACCCCTATAAACACCACCATGACAACACACATGGACCATTGTCGGCAGTTCTTGCGCCTGGCGAAGGGAGAGGTGGGCGGGGAAAGCAGCTCGGATACGTCAAGTGGATCGTCGAATGGTATGTGTGTGTGTGACCTTGATGACACTGACATTTGTATTGAGTGCATTGAGTGGATGTGTGGATGGCTGTGTTCAGGTTGACGGATCAGTGCAGCAGCCCCTCCCCCGTCCCCTTCTCGCCCAATGCCGTCCGCCCGGCCATCAAGACCCACACACACATACGGGAGGTGTCATCGCGGCCGCCACTGAATGTGCTGATTATCGGGTTTGGTGGTGGCGTGATGGCACAAAGGGTGTGGGAGGGATGCCACGACACACCGAGGGTGAGCTGAGACATACAGGGGAGGGAGGGATTGTGTCAAGACGGTCGTGTGTGTAGGGTGTGAGGCTGGTGAGTGTGGATGTCGTCAGCAATCTGCTGATCATCGCTGAGGGGCTCTTCGGATTCCAACACAGACCAAAACAGAATGACGGTACTTCACACACAGACAGACATATATGCCTATTTACCACTTTCTGTCTCTCTGTGTGTGTGTGTGTGTGTTCAGTGTCTTTGGGTGAGGGCTGCCTACACGCGCTGCGGCGTCTGTCAGATGAGGGCCATGAGAGCTATGACGTCATCATTGTGGACGCACTCGGCCCGTCATACCACATCGACGGCACACCCAACCAATGCAGGTACACACACCAACAGTGTGACCAACACACAGACACACACACACACACACACAAGCACACTCGAGTGTCCCTCTCTCTGTCTGTGTGTGTGTAATGTCAGCTCAGTTGAGGCCGTTGGGTTGGTCACCGCTCTGCTGCGTGGCGGCGGCGTGGCCATACACAGAATGACTCGCCCATGGTCGACAGACACATACTCCGACTACTGGTACACACACACACACACACACTCAGCCCTCTGCACACCGACCGGCTGACATCTCTCTCTCTGTGTGTCTTTTGTCAGGTTCTCTCTGCCGTCGGCCTATCAGTCGACGTCGGCCATCGAGTCGGCCACTGCAGAGGACCTCCCATCAGACCAACACGACAGCAGCACCAGCAGCCAGTGGGGCGACCTGCTCATTTGGGCGCACAAGCGGACAGACACCCACACAGAGAGAGGGAGACGGCGGCTCAACGAGACACACACCGACACACTCACGGAGAGGGCCGATGAGGTCTGTGTCAAAGACGCCACGGGCGCCGTCCACTGTGTGCCCAAAGACAGCGAGACCACAGAGGCAGCAGCCGACACAAACACCACAGCCACCGCTGAGGACGACCACCACTACCAGCCGCCGGCCACCGCCACACACGAGGCGGCCGTCCACACAGAGGACACCGATCCAGCAGCCCACCAGCAGCAGCCAGAGGGAGAGGCCATCAAGACACCGCACTGGGCAGAGACCGGCCAGCTGCCCGCCGCCTCTGACACAGACAGAGACAAGACGGCCTCTTCTTCCCTCGTCAGCACACAGCGGGGCTACTCGCCCGCCTCCCCATTGGCCACTGCTCGCGGCGGCTACTCATGGGTTGTGGCCGGCGGCTTCGTGTTGGTGCTGGGGGCCCTCTATGGCGTGGTGCGCGTGTGGCGGCGGACACACCCACACGGCTCACATGGCCACGGGGATGTGTCTGCTTCCCGTGTGTCTGGTGGCGGAAGGGGCCAGCAGGACCGACAGAATGGCTACGTTTTGGTGCCCCAGACATTCGCCGACGAGAGCGATGACTGGGGATAAAGAGATGGTGTGAGGATGTCTGTGATGTGATGTGATGTGATCCACACACGGAGATGAAGTTTGGGGGTCTCTGTCTGTCTGTACAGCCAACAGAACGAACAGATAGTTCACACCCGCTACGGGCCAACACAGACGCGAAACCGGCAAGTTAGCCAATCAGCCATCCATGTGTCAGGGTCTCCCCAGATGTCTGGCTGTCTATCTGTGTGTGTGTGTGTGTTTGTTTGTTTGTTCGTCCATATGGCGGACGTTGGACGCATGCTATTTGTATGTCAAAGGTCCGCGTCTGTGTTGGCTGCAATGGGCTCAGTTGACCGAGGAGCACCTGCTGTGCACTCAGGCAGCCGACCATCCAAACACACACACACGACAAGAGGGGCAGTCTGGCGTCTATCAGCTCCCCCCTCCCCAACACGCACACAGACTGGACAGACGAAAGGCCTTACACACTTCACAAAAACATCAAACCAGAAGAACCTAGCGCTTGTACTTCTGCATGATCTCTCTGATCTCCGGCTTGCCCTCCGCCTTGTCCCAGGGCGTGTCCCCCTGTTGTCATGAGATGAGATGAGCACACCACTCAGCCCATCGATGGTGGGAATATGTGTGGGCACTCACAAATATGTTTTTGATGTCCAGCAGAGCACCGCCGCCCCACTCGAGCCTTTGAGAATGACACACACAGAGAGAGAGAGAGAGAGTGGATGAGACATTCGCGTCAGTCAGTCATCTGTGTCGCCCACAGCTGAGACACAGCCGCAGATTCGCCCATGCCTGCAGCATAATGGAGTGCCGTGTGTCCAAACTGTGTGTGTCATGCACACAAAGTAAGGCAATCAATCAGATGAGAGAAGACTGTGTTGTCTCACGTTGTCGGTCTGTGTCAGCAGGTCCTTTCGTATGGCATACAGGGCCTTCATCACATCGACATGACCCTTGTTGGCAGCCTTGATGAATGGCGTGGTGCCATGCTGCAATCAACACACACACACACACAATCGGCACACTGGAACGTCAGAGACATGGGTGTGCTCTGTTACCTCGTTGCGTGCGTCGATCAGTTTGGGATCCCACTCCATCAACTTATTGACCGCCGCAACATGGCCCTCTCGAGCAGCCCAGTGCAGGGCATTCCGACCAGACTGCATTCCATCACAGCCAACACACATCTTCTCACCATGACCAGCAGCAGCACAGAAGATGCATTGTCTGTGTCGGTACCAGGCCTGTTTGCTGCAGTACGTCGGGTTTGCTCTCATACATCACCGACATGACGCCCACGTGACCTTTTGCTGCAGCCTACAGGAAGGGCGTGAACTGCAGAAATGAGAGCACACAGACAGACCACCGAGGGCATTTCTGTCGGCTTCACGATTGCATACCCCGCCGTCTCGTTTGTCGAGAATGTTCTTGCCGTCTCGCTCGATGAACAAACGGACGGACTGCAAATCGCCGAACTTGGCGGCCTCAAAGATGTCCGTCTGCCACACAACCAGCACAAGAACAGCGGCCAATTGACGTGTGGGGTTCATCTGCCGTCTCCCTTACGTGTTTGATCTGCGGCTGTGGGGCGCTCGGCGGTGTCTTCGCTGACGGCTGCTGGGTAGGGAACGCTGCGTACCGCTTGTACTTCTGCATGATCTCTCTGATCTCCGGCTTGTCCTTTGCATCGTCCCACGGCGTCTTCCCCTGTTGGTCATGAGATGAGATGAGCACACCACTCAGCCCATCGATGGTGGGAATGTCTGTGTGCACTCACGTAATTGCCTTTGATGTCCAGCAGCGCACCGCCGCCCCACTCAAGCCTTTGAGAATGACACAGAGAGAGAGAGAGAGAGTGTGGATGAGATGTTCGCGTCAGTCAGTCATCTGTGTCGCTCACAGCTGAGACACAGCCGCAGATTTGCCCCAGAATGCAGCCCAATGGAGTGCCGTGTCTCCGTTCTGTGTGTGTCATGCACACAGGAAGAAGGCAATCAATCAGTGAGAGAAGACTGTGTTGTCTCACATTGTCCGTCTGTGTAAGCAGGTCCTTTCGTTTGGCATACAGAAACTTCATCACATCGACGTGACCCTTGTTGCAAACCGCCATTATGAATGGCGTCTTGCCATCCTGCAATCAACACACACACGCAAGTGACACAGTGAGGCGTCAGAGACATGTGTGAAGTCTCTTACCGCGCCACCGCGTGCATCGAGCAGTTTGGCATCCCACGCCATCAGCTGATTGACAGCCGCAACATGGCCATACAGGGCAGCCTTGTGCATGGCATTCGATCCATACGTCTGCATTCGGCACGGCCAAGACACATTTTCTGCTCATCCAGCAGCACACAAGGTACCTCGTCTGTTTGCTGCAGTACGTCAGGTTTGCTCTCATAGATAACCGACATGACGCCCACGTGACCCTTTGTTGCAGCCTTGATGAAGGGTGTCCACTGCATGAACGAGAACACACAGACAGACCACTGAGGGAATCTCTGTCGCCTTCATGGTTGCATACCCCGTTGTTGTCTCGTTTGTCGAGTATGCCCTTGCCGTCCCTCGCGATGAGCAAACGAACATTCCTGACACACACCACACACACACGCGCACGAGTGCCAATGGGTGGGTGTGGGTGTCTTTGTCGGACTGCGGATCGGCGGCATTGACGGCTTCGAAGATGTCAGTCTGCCCACAGCCAGCACAATACCAGCGGCCCATTGACGTGTGGGATTCAAGCTGCTGTCTCCCTGACGTGTTTGATCTGCGGCGGTGGGGCGCTCTCCGGTGTCTTCACATACGGCTGCTGGGCGGGAGGCGCTGCACGACACCGACAGAGCATCGAAAGGTGTGGCTCCCTCTGTGTGTGTGTGTCTCCCCGACCAATGTGCTGTGGGGGCGGCTGAGAGGTCTTGGCCACACTGCTGGGCGGCCCCGTTGTGGTGTTGGCCGTGCTCATGTGCACACTGGACGAGTGCCCGACGGCAGACACATTGGTGGACGATGCACTTGTCGGAGAATGCGAAACAGCCGCTGGAGGCCAGAACGAGACAAAATGACAAACACGTATGCGATCGATCGTGTGCAGCTTAAGCATGTGTAGACGCACCTTGTCGTTTGAAGCTTCCTAACAGCCACCCCATTGGGCCCTTCCGAGTATGCGGAGCAGCCCCCTGTTGAGTTGAGGGCACGTACGAGACCCCCAGCTTCTCGAGAATCTGTGAACAAGAAGCGACAGACGTATCAGCACCCTCAATTTGCCGTGTCGGATCGCTTGTATGTGACTTGTTTGGCTGTGGGCCGATCGGCGGGCTTCTCGGCAAAGCATTTCTGATGAATCATCCATTTCACGCAGAGAAAAACAAGGGCCTTTCCGAAGTACGGCAATCGATGTGAAAACAGCAGTCCGCTTACTTTGATGATGTCTCTGGCCTGTGGAGGGATGGAGTCGGGAATGTCGGGTGCCTGCATATATTAAAGGCAGTGACAATGGCTCCAGCTATAGCACTCTATCTTTCTGTCTTGGGTTCGCTTCGGTGGACCTTCCGCAATCTGACGAGGCACTTAAACAGAACCTGCACTGAGACGCCGTGCAGCTGCAGGATGATCGCCCCGACGGCCCAGATGTCCGCCGCTGTCGTCAACCCCTTGGCTGCCACACAAGCCATGCATGAACACAACATTATTTGGTGCTGGATTGACTTCACCATTCGAATCGAGTGCCTCAGGGGCCATGTACAAAAATGTGCCAGCCCCTGCACATAGACGTGTGATGTGTATTTGAATCGGAGTCTCTTTCTGTATGCGTCTCTTTACCGCCTTGTGCCGTCGACAGTGTCTTGCTGAGGTCAATGACGAGACCGAAGTCTGTGATTTTCAGGTCAAATAGTTTGGTCACCTGCAGCATAAACAAACAGCAAATGGACAATGCACGGCTCAGCGTGCAGCTTACGAGTATGTTGCCAGGTTTTAGGTCTCTATGCACAACGCCATGGTCGTGAAAAGCTTGCATGGCTTCACAAATCTGTCAGGGAGCAAAGAGCCGGTATGATGATTCGGCTTACTGCCCTAATTTGTTTCTCACCTGTTTGGTGAACTTGGCGCGGAGGTCGGCTGACAGGGGCTCCCCACTCTCGAGATACGACTGCAGCGAGCCCCCTTCACACAACTCTGAGACACATGAAAACAATCCGCAGGCAAGTGGGCGCGACGAGCAGACAGCAGAGTTCACCTGTGATGATCATGGGCCCATATGTTTTGTCGGTGCAGATGCCCAGGAACTTGATGACATAGGGGTGTTTGACGTGCAGCATCGGCTCCACCTCCTTCAAGACCTCGTCGTAGAGGTCCTGCATGAGCAAAAGACACTCGTAACAGTCGTCATTCATTCGGGAGGTATCGCTTTGCCCACATCTCTGTCGATTTCTTGTCTGATGTCCTCGTCGACCACCTTGACAGCCACAGGCTGACCTTTCCACATGCCCTTGAAGACCGTTCCGAAGCCCCCCCTCCCTGAACACACCCACAGTGCCACACACACGCATTCCCCTGACGGTGTGGTGCGCGAAGGTCTCGAGCTCACCCAGCCTGTCTGCCTCGTTGAATGTGAGGTCCTTGCGACCGATGCGGAGGCGGGGAGCGGCCGACATGATGGGGCGATGCCTTTTCGCGCTCCAAAAGGAGAGGGGAGGGAGGGGGAACCGGGAGGGGCCCCCACCGAGCCCCCACAGGATCGATCCTGTGTCGAGACACCAGCCGCTGCAGCCGGACGGACGGACGGAAACGCAATTTCAATCAATTGATACAGCAGCCACAAGTACATGCACACACACCCATGCAAGTGAAGAGTCTGTCGGAATTATGTGTGTAAATAGAGATTTCAGCATACACCCTGTCATCATGCAAACACACGAACGTGAAATGAGTGAATCGCATCATATGATACACAAACACATCATGATGATTATACACATAGGCAGATGAATGCACACACACGCAGATCCAGATGAATGGAGACACAGACAGACAGACAGACAGACACACAGACACACAGACAGACAGACAGACAGTGAGGCGGACAGGCAGGTGGGCAGGTTCTCTGCACCTCCGGACACCCAAACAGCAAATGGGGAGGGAGGAGACACATCTTTGCTTGATTACAAAAACACCCACACCCACACCCACACCCACACATGCATAGAGACAGACAGGCAGACAGCAAATCGTGTCTGTTGTTGATGCGTATAGACGTGTATAGATGTGTATGGACGGTATACATGACATGACTGACGTGTAGGTGTGCACAAATACGTATGTATACGTCACAGCTCATCACGCGCTCATCGATTGGCTTGCGATAGGTGAAAACAGTGCACAGGATTGGCTGTCTGTGTCTATGCGTCTCTCGCCTTCGTGCCATGTCGCCATGCAAGAATGAATGACGACAAGCAATGAGATCGTCAGAAGAGACATGACATGATGCATCGATCGACAGCCAGAAGAAAAACAACCTCAGAGTGAGTCTCTCGGGCCAGCAGTCAAGACCGCACCCATTCATCCCAGCAGAGTAAGTTCACAAATAATACATACACATCGATACACAGATATCTCCACAGACAAGCAGGCCTATACAATCACGCCCCCGTCGTCAGTCGCAGTGGCAGTCGCCCTTCGTGGTGAGACACACGTAGCAGAACGACGCGCCGCACACGCACGTCATCTGCACACCATCACACACAGAGATGCAGATGTGGGTGTGCGCGACAGACGAGAAATGTGACTGCACACCTGGTTGCATCCCTCTGACCGCAGGACGGCGATGCCGCACTCTGGGCAGTGCTTCGGCTCGATAGACATTTCCTGCAGACAGAGCGTACGCTTTGTGTATGTGTGTGTGTGTGTGTGTGGATGTTGATAGTGTCAAAACTGACCTGTTGAAAGAGCCGTTGGAAGTTGTCCTCATCGTACATGGCATCGCACTCATCGGTGTCCCCGTGGGCCATCTGACACCTCCAACAGAATATCTGCATGAGCACACACACAAAAAATACATATAGATGACCGTCATGATGGTGTGTTTCTCTCGTTTGCTATAGGCCACTGACGTCCTCGCAGCACTCCGTCTCGAATCTTGGCCACGTGGCCAAGAAGCGCAGATGCAGCGACACCCTGATGACCGCCCACGCATCCACACGCAGATACACATACATCTGTGTGTTTGATTGTCTGTCTGCTCACTTCCTCTCAGGTTCCTCGATGGCCTCGATTAGCCTCTTGGCGCCCTCAGACCCTTCATCGGCCACATCCGCCGACTCGTACAGCCCGATCACCTCATTCAGACACTCACGCGCACCAGTCGCATACGCCTGCAGTCAGGTGTGGGAAAAGGGAGAGCATGTGTATGAGTATTCGGTGGCTGGTGAGGCGCGTGTGCTGTGGTGTGGTGACCTGGTATTTCCACGCTGCCTGTTTGAGTTTGTTGCTCTCCCCCTCACCCAGAGCTCGCACCGCACGGCCGACCCTGTGTGATGCACAGACACACATGTGCACACGTGGCTGTGACGGCGGAAGACACACAATCATCTTCTTGACTCACTTCCTCATGACCTCCCTCCTGCGATCGGTGTTGCCGCCGCTCTCATGATACAAACTGTCAGTCTCGTCACACGCACACCTGACAGCACACACACCAACACACGACACATGATGAGAAACGGTCTCGTCAGCCCACGCGCACTAGGGCGTACCTGAAAGTCAGTGCGCGTCGTGCCAGCTCGTGGATGCGCGCCTGGAGGTCCTTGGATATGTAAGGCTTGACGGCGAGGAAAGACAGACCGTTGGACTGACCGCAGATGCACTTCAGCTTGGGAAGGAAGAACAGATCCTAACACACACCAGAACACACGGGCGCCTGTCCGTTTGTCTGTCTGTCTGTCTGTCTGTCCGTCTGCCCATGACGAGATGCTCACCTTGAGCTGCACCTCGATGTGCCTCTCCAAACACTCGTGGCACGCCCGATAGGCCACATCTCCACTGACCCTCTCGCAGCAGCCGAACCACACCAACTCACCCCTCTCCTCACCGCATATGGGACACTCCTCCCCGTCCCCACTCGTCATCACTATCGCAGGCAGCAGCAGCGTCGCCCCCTCCTCGTCCGCACTCGATGTCCCCTCCTTCCTGCCGCTCTTCTCGCGCCTCACGGGCGTCGTGCTGTGGCTGCTCTCCACCTCACCAAACCCGGCCACACCGCCATCTCGGGTGATGATGCCGTCATCTGCCACAGCAGCTGCGGCGGGGACGGCCAAGTCGACAATTTCCCAATCCTCATCAACCTGTTGGTCCAAGATGCTCTCAATGGCTGGCGTGACTCTGGTGATGACGGCAGCCTCCTCGAAGCGGTCGTGAGGGAGTGTGACGGACGAGCAGCCGAAGAGCACCCGCTGCCACCACCGCTGCTCCTGGGGCTGGGAGCCGCTGGCCGACGGCGACGAGATGGACCGGGTAGCACCTGCCTGCTGTGCTTGCTGTTCAGAGGCGGGGGATGACGAAAAGCTTCTGATGACGCTCATTCTCTTCTGTAAGCGAAAGACGATGGCCTCACGGCCTCACACCATATCTTCTTGATGGATATCTCCCGTTTGTTTTCGAAAACGTCATTTCCTGTCTTCAGCGATCGGAGCTCGCAACTTTAGCTCGCATCCGTTTTCAGCGTCTTTCCTCTCTTCCCCTCTGTCAGCCCCTGGTGAGGCTCTGGGCGTCCTTGTTTTGCTTCTTCTCTTCTCGAAATGAAGGGCAAAGCCCTCGTGCAGATCTTCCCGCAGGCCCTGCAAGGTGCCAAGGCGCAAGCAGGCTTCCTCTCGCGCCTCCAGCAGCCTCACGAGCTCGGCAAGGCCTACAAGAACGTGGTGCTCAATCCCAACAGAAAGTCGGCCTTCTCGCATATCGAGTTCACGCCAGACAGTGTGCGCCTGGAGTTCCTCACTGCGAAGGACCCCCAGTATCGGCAGCTGGCAGAGATAGCCACTGATGATGACTTGAGCGAGGAGGACGGGTCACTTATCAAGGATGTCAAGAACAGGGACTTTTGTGGCGGTGGGGCGAGCGTCATATTGGACAGGGAGGTGCTGGCTGAGAGACTGAGGAAGAGCTTGACGCGGCACGCTATGCTTGCTGGTGGTGGTGGTGGTGGGGCTGGTGAGAGGCAGGAAGGCGACCAGGAAGAAGACGAGAGCAGCTCGTCTGATGATGAGGAGAGCGGTCCAGATGGGCCGCACGAAGATGCAAGGTTCGAGGCGGCTGGGGGCGACAAATGAGGGGGAAGGAAGGAGGGCGTGAGGGTGGGTCGTTTTGGGGCCAGGTCATTCATGCCTGCTTGATGGAATGTGTTTTTGAATGCTGGTTGCTCTGCTGGTGGGTGTCAGTCCGCTGATCAACGATCCATCTGTCTGTGCTATGGGTGGGTGGGTGGAACGGACAGACAGTCAGTCGGGCCGTTTTTGGCCTTCTTTGTCTCGATTATCTCGATCTCTCCTTGTTGCTGGTGGATACATGGATACAGATGATACGACTCCCTCTAGCTCTCCTGGTGTGTACAGCTTTCTCTCTGCATAACGGATGGCTTGGATGCTCTGCTGCTGTAACGCTCATTGGTCTGATGTACATACATACTCGAGACATACAGACGTATTGCCATTCATGGATGGATGGATGTGGGGGAGACTCAGTTGAGGTGCGTTGTGTTGCACTGAATCCCTGACTGACGCGCAGTGTGTGGGCCCGCTGTGCAATCTTGCCATAAGGTCTGACAGGCATTTGAGTGAGTGATGCAGTGCAGTGCAGGCAGCGCAATTCACACGCCACGACGACTTAGTGGTGTGTAGTGGATAGCCAAGTGCATCCATCGATTCGCAACCTCATTTAACGGCTTAAGGTGAAGTAGCACTCAGGAGACCACATCAGACCACCGTGTTGTCTGCCCGCACGCCCACATCAGCCCTTACTCTCCAACTCTGTCGCTAAATCCCCATGGCCCCTCCACTTTGCCAAATCAATCGGCGTCTTCCCCTTTACACACACAAACACACAGGGACGGCGAGAGAGGGAGATCGCTTGCCATGACTCTGTGCGTGCATTCCTTACATGTTTGTTGGTTTTCTTGAGAAGATCGCGGCCTCCTTGCTTGTTGACCATGCAGATGGCGGCCTCCCTGTGCCCTTGCAGGCAGGCTAGATGCATTGAGGTGTTGCGGAACTGCACGCAGCGGAAATGAAGAGAAAAGAGTGACAACAGAGAACACTTCTCTTCTGTGTCTCCGCCGACCGTGTTGGTCTTCTGAAGCAGGGTCACCCCTCCCTCCTTCAGCAGATACTCCATCGCCTCCACACGATTGCCGCTGGCAGCCATGTGCAAAGGAGTGAGGCCATGTTGGTTGCCAATTTTGAGGGCCAGGGGGCTGCCGCTCCACTCGACTAGCTGCCGCAACACGCTCACATGGCCACCAAAGGCAGCGTCGTGGAAAACCGTCCGACCCTGAAAGAATACGAAGACCTTTGTGCAGGAGACATGATTTGTGCGAAACAGGTGTACGTTGGATTCGAGTGAGAGGATGAAGTCGACGCCTTTTCGCTCGACGATGGCCTTGAGCACCGCCAGCTGTCCCTCCTCCGCAGCGACGCCGGCAATCGTGCGACCATACTACACGCAAGAGACACAGCAGACACGCGAAAGTTGCATGAACTGTCTGCCAGTCTGTCATTTGAAAGCACGAAGATGACACTTACTTTGTCTTGGATGGTGAGAAGACGGTCTCCTCCCAGTTTCAGCAGCAGGTTGACCACCGACACATGCCCTCGTTTCGCCGCAAGATGTGTAGGAGTGGGCTCTTCCTGAACCTTCGTCCGTTTCTCAATGAGGTGCTTCCCTCCTCGCTCGACAATCTCCTTGACCAACATCTCCTGGCCGTTCTGGGCGCTGTAGTGCAGAGGCGTGAAGCCGTCGTCGTCAGCGTCCTCGAGACACTTGGGGCCTTTTCTTGGTGATGAATTTGATCAACGCCTTCAGGTCGCCCTCGGAGCCCTCGGCACACGCTTCAAAGATGGTTTTGTTCTGGAACGAGAGACAAGAGACATGAAGAGGACTTCAAAGCATTCATTCCCTGCTTGACCTCTTCGCTTGCTGTCGTGTCTGCGTCGTGAGCCGCCCCTTTCCGATCGATAGGGACCGTTTGCCCTGAGGACAGAAACAAGACACTATCAAATGCACGCACCACACGTCCTCTGCAGCCTATGAGTACCTTTAATTACGATTGGTTCACCAGCTTGCCACAGGTGAGGCGTCCGGTCACAGCATCCGATCTTCTTCATGACGACGGTGTCGTTCACCACACACATCAGATGCTCCGGCAGGCCTTCACACGACAGAGTCGACGCCACGCCGTACGTGGCACTGATCCTGCGCCCCGAGGTGTGCTTCTGCGTGTTGATCTCGTCGTCCTTTGACACCGAGGGCTTGCAGCATGCAGAGAAAGACTGGCACAAATCAAGTGGCTTGCTCAAGGCGGCCCCTGTCATTTTCCAGTGCTCCAAGCTGGCCGTGCCCTTCTCCCTCGCCTGAGGAGTCGTGATCGTCGGCGTATCCAGTAGAAGCGTCTTGTTTTCCTTGTGCACTCGAAGGGTTGACTGAGGGAAGGCTGCAGACACAAGGCGGAAGGTCTCTTCGGGGCAGAAGGGATCTGTGTGGTCCATCCAGAGCTGCGAATTGTCCACAGGCTCGTCCTCCTTGCGGGGCGCCGGCGTCTTCGTTTTCAAGACCACAGAAGCCTTTGCACCGGGACCGACGCCATGCACAGCCGTAAGCACGGTGTCACTTGTACCACTACCGAGGTTGTACATATGCAGCCGGAAGCCGGTAGCCTCGATGTTTCTCTCTTGGTGGAAATACTCGTTGTAGGACACGAAGGGAGGGTTACTCCTGACAAGCACAATGCCGTTCTCATCCCGCAGTTCGTTAGGGTGGATCATTCGGTCCATGGCCTTGTGCTTGCTGCCGTCGATGAAGATGGAGATGTAGCAGGGGCTGATGGTGTGCAGGGTCATCTTCTTGCCAGGATCGAGCTTGTGCCATTCCTTGGCCAGGCGGAAATACGCATACTCAACCTCCACATCGATCTCCTCCTCCTTCTCCTCACTGCATTGCATGGGAGAAGGGCGATCATCAAAAATGTCTTCCGCCCTAGTCTCCGCATTGTTCTTACCCACTCTCCCACTTGAACCCTGGCTTTGCGCCGACCTCGACGCCACAGACTTCCCCAGTGAGCTCCATTTCGATGCCCTTTCTATCGTACTTCTTCTCCTCCTTCTTCAGCCGCTCTCGAACTCTCTTAGGTTCACCCGCCGGCACAAGCATCACCTGACATGACCACACACTGGCTGACATGCCGTCTGACTCACGAAGACTGCCCGCTTACCGATGCTTCGCAATTGGCCTTGTTCAGGATGTCGAGGGAAGTCTCCTTGGGGAGGGGCACGCCCGAAGCCATCTCGAGATGAAGATGCTCTCCGAGTCCGGGTCGAGAGGGGCCCCCCGGGCTTTTGGTGGGGGCTCTTGGGGGCCTTTCCGCCGCCGCCGCCGGCGCGTCTTCAGGTCTTCGCCATGGCTGCCACGTCTCGTTTGGTGATCAGGGCGAGGGACCTGACTGTGGAGGACAAGCGGCTTGGTCAGCTCGACAAAATCTAATTGCGGGCCGCAACCACCTGTCAGTGTCAGTGGGCTGGTTTCTTTGTGTGTGCATTTCTAAGGGAGTGGAGGATTCGGGGTGGTGTTGAGAGGCGTTTGGCGCGGCCAGCCAGTGGCGGTCAAGGTGACAAATATGGAGAAGCTGAGAGAGGAAACGAGGGAGACCGGACAGGAGGTCGATGACGACGTGAGGGTGTGAGATGTCGCCGCTCGTGCATTGTTTATCGCATGCCTTGTTGTGGCATGTGCATAGGAGCTGATGGCTGGAGCGATGGAGGACGCTCTGATCGAGGCTGAGCCGATGCTTTCACTGCGGCATCCCAACATCGTGCGGCTGTTAGGTGTTTGCGCAGACAAGAAACACGGACTCATGATCGTCACAGGTGGTCATACACTTCGCTTTGTCCAGCCAGGCTGTCTCGTGATGTCTGCTTGTCATTTTCAGAGTTGTGTGAGGGCGGCTCTCTAGCGTCCTACCTCGCTAAGAACGGACCCCCGCCGCCCGACGTGCGAGACAGATTCGTGAGAGAGGTACAGCAAAGCATACGAGCGTCAGAGCCATCAGGTGACTCATCTCAATCTGTGTGTCGATTGCCGTTAGATATGTGAGGGCGTGCAGTATCTTCACGACCACGGAATCCTGCATCGAGACCTGAAACCGGGCAATATTCTCGTGAGGGCAGACAACCTTCACCTCTCGGTCGGTGGCCATAGCCTCTTGTTGTGTCTCGTGTCTGTCAGTTGGCTGAGTATTTGGTGATCAAGATATCTGACTTCGGCATGACGCGGAATGTTCAAGTGACGTCGAGCTCTTCTGCAGGTAGCAAGAGACATGGCATGGCGGAAGGCGGCGAGTGAGGTGCGTCTGTGCTTGTTGCATCCGTCACCGCACCGCAGGTGGCATTAAGGGAACCGTCAATTACATGTCACCTGAAGCTTTGGATCCAGACAACTGTAAGTGCAACAAAAGCCGGTGGGCTTGAGAACTTGAATGACTGCCGGTGTGTGCAGTGGGAAGCCCTCTATGGAGGCGGACATATGGGCGGTTGGATGCATCATTGCGGAGCTGTGTGGCGGTCAGCAGATGCAACCTTCACTCGGACACACTTGCAGCCTATATCTGTGATGTTCAGGTGGGCCTCCTTTCGGAGGCTGAAGTGCCGTAAATATCATGATGGCCGTTGTGGTCCGAAAGCAGGTGACCTGCCACGTTGACACGTGTTGACAGATTCTCTGGAAGTCTTTTTTTGCACACGCATGTCAGATTCCCCGCATCCCCGATTCCCTGCCTGAGCACATCAAAAGTGCCATCAAGACAAGCCGAGGGCCCTTTCCTGTTTGCCGCGTTTCCCTTCTGATCGTGGTTGCTGTTCAGAGTTGTTTTGCCTTTAATCCAAAAGATCGCCCCACAGCCAAAGAGGTGCCTGATATAGACATTGGACAAAGGCGTGTGCATGTCGAGTGTCTACTTCCCTGACCGCTTGGTAGTTGTTGGCCAAGCTGGGTATTCCGGCGAGTCCGTCGAAAGATACAGGTCAATTGCCGGTTAAACGCCTTGGGCCAGCCCCCGTCGCCTAATTTAGACTGCTTGACTACGTGCAGAGGTGTTGTCGGTTCTCCCTCCCTCTGTTTCTCCCGCTGTCGTGTCTCCCATTGGCCATACAGCGGGTGTCCATGCGAGCATGGCCAGCACCATAACGGGGCCACCGAGTGCGGTCTCGCCAGCACAGATCAAACTTGTGGTTCCGCAAGAGCAAACAGGTCAGCTGTGGAAGGCACGCACATGTATTGAATCGTTTCATGTGTCATGTGTGTCGTGCAGCGTTCCCCGTCCAGCAGCCGTCAGTGAAGACATCGCCGAGCCCTCCACAGCCGCAGATCAAACACGTAAGGGAAACAGCAACTAAACCCCACACGTCAATGGGCCGCTGTTCTTGTGCTGATTGTCTGTCAGACTGACATCTTCGAAGCCGTCAAGGCCGCCGATGAGCAGTCCGGTAACATGGGATGGGATGGGTAAACAGAGACATCGCGAGACACTCAAACATATAAGTGAAGAATCCATCGAACCATCCATCGGTCATGGTCTCTGTCAGTTCGTTTGCTCATCGAGAGGGATGGCAAGGACATACTCGACAAACGGGAACGAGACAAATACAATTTCGAGGTATGGAATCGTGAAGACGATCGAAATGCACTCAGTGGTCTGTGTCTTCTCATTCCTGCGCACAGTTCACGCCCTTCCTCAAGGCTGCACAGAAGGGTGAGGTGGGCGTTATGTCGGTCATGTATGCGAGCAAACCTGACGTACTGCAGCAAACAGAGACCAAGGTACCGACACAGACAAACCATCTTGTACTGCTGATGGTGATAAAGAGTGTATTGGGTGTGACGCAATGCAGCGTGGTGACACTGCCCTGCACAAGGCTGTCTACGAGGGCCATGTCGCGGCTGTCAATAAGCTGATGGAGTGGGATCCCAAACTGATCGATGCACGCGACAATCTAGGAGAGCATACACATGTCTTTGACGCTTCAGTGTCTCGATTGTGTGTGTACGTGTGTTGATTGCAGGAGGGCGCCACGCCATTCATCTATGCTGCCGGGAATGGTCATGTCGATGTGTTGAAGGCCCTGTATGCCAAACGAAAGAACCTTCTCACACAGACCGACAAGGTGAGACAACACAATCTTCTCTCACTGATTGATTGCCTTTCCTCTGTGTGCATGACACACACAGGAGGGCGACACGGCACTCCATGGGGCTGTACTCTGGGGCAAATCTGCCGCTGTGTTTCAGCTGTGGGCGACACAGATGACTGACTGATGCGAACATCTCATCCACTCTCTCTCTCTCTCTCTGTGTGTGTGTCCTTCTCAAAGGCTCGAGTGGGGGGGCGGTGCTCTGCTGGACATCACAAACAACAAGGTAAGTGCACACCGATATTCCCACCATCGATGGGCTGAGTGGTTTGCTCAGCTCATCTCATCACAACAGGGACTGACGCCATGGTTCTGGGCGGCAAACAGGCCGGAGATCAGAAAGATCATGCGGCCGTACAAGCCTGCTTCTGGGCCTTGCTGGATGATCATGTGAGTCACAGTCTGTCAGTCGCTCGGGTGTGCTTCGAATAAGAAGCTAGGAGACATTGTGAGTGGGTGATCATGTGTCGTCGCGAATGACACGGCGAATATACGAAGTGCAGCCCTCGGTTTCTTTCTTGTGTCTCCATCTGGACCACTGCGAGGGGCTGTGAGGTGTTGTGTGTTTGCCATGGGACATCATGACCTGATTGGAAATGTCCATCAATACGTGAGCACGCAGCGCTCAGTTTCTCTCTGTATTGATGCTGCCCTGCCGGCTGGTAAGCTGCTCGCGGAGGCTGCGATTCTCCTCTTGCAAAGCGCCAAACGTCTGCATCAGTGACATAAGGAGACACACACTCACGCCGATCAGCAGCCTTTGTCCTTGGCACACACACACCTGTTGGTTGAGAGTCTGTCTGGCCCTCTCCTTGTCGAGGCAGCTCTTGAGCCGCCGATTCTCCAACGCTGCCGCCTGCAACTCACGCTGAAGACGCAATATCGCCTGACAAACAATCACACACACACACACCCTTCCTCACAGCTTCGATGGTCTTGCCCTCCTGCCGTTTAGGCGCCCGTATCCTGCCTTTCATTCCGGGCATGAGTGCGATAGGGGTCCTGAAGTGACTGGGTGTACTTAATAGGGACCGTCCGTAGTCACATGACACAAGAAGACGAGCTGACGGTCCCCACACGTGGACCAAAGTGTCTCAGATGCAACCACAGAGATAAATCTGTATGCGCGCGTCTGCACGGCAAGTCAGTGATGCGTTCCGTCAGGAAGGCACCGAGTCGAATGGCCTCCTCCCTTGCAAAGGCTTCCTTTCGGCTGCCCACTTGAAGACCACTTGCACGACTTCGCGGTCAAAGTTCAGTTCAATCCCTGCCAGCCAACAGACAAACAGACAGACAGACAGAAAGCCAGGCACATACACACACATGTGCACATGTAGTGCACACGTTCCACTGTTCGGGCCACATGACGCTGTGTGATATGTATTTATCTAACCGTCGTGTGCCTATCCATCTGTGTATGTGTATGTATTTAACCTGTGTACGTACGTACCAACCAGCACCCTCACAGACGAACGTCTTTTTGCTCCCACTTCTCTCGCGTGGCCACCCGACCGCTTTTTGCCACACACATGCATTGTCTAAGCTGCGTAACAATGCACAAACGCGCTGGTTCTGTTACCCATCTGTTTTTGCCACTCATGCCTTCCCTTCCTGCGCACATGGTCAACGTCACGACCGCCATACAGGGAAGGGCGGTGCAGTTAAGGAAGAGACACGGATGAGACAGACAGACAAGCAGACACCATGCAGTCTCTGGCTGTACGGCTCATCGGTTCGATCATTGTGAGTTTTACGGTGTTGAGATGGATGGACAACGAGATGAGTTTCGGTGGCTGACAAGTATAGCACACACCAACAGAGAGGGAGGAGATCGGCCGGTAAGGGTGATTGACTAATGTGGGCGCTGCTACTCGGTCCACAATTAGCAGTGTACTGCTGCCTTTACGGTCAGAAATGAGCGCCTGTAATGAGAACTCTTTTCGCGGCTGCGTGAGTGTTGATCGATCGCATCACCATGCAGTGACATTCCTCCATCGCATCGAGTAGAATTCATCCACACAGACGCATGCCGGGTCACATGATGGGGTGGGTGTATGTAACAAGGACCGTCCTCAGTCAGTTGAGATACAAAAAGGCGCGTGAGCACCCGCACGTGGACCAAAATGTCTCTGTGGATACCAATCTGCCGGCGGATAGTCGAGAATCCTGGGAGCGTTGGGGGCCGAACGGACAGCGGGGCTAACGAGCACAGTTCGCTCCTCATGGCTTCACCCGTTCCTCGCCTGTTGATCAGGGCGAGGGACCTGACTGTGGGCGACAAGAAGCTTGGTGCGCTCACGACCAATTGCTGCCCCGATGTCATCGATTGGGTGATCTGTGTGTGTGTATCAGGGGGTGGAGCGTTCGGTATCGTGTACCAGGGCCAATGGAAGGGGCTGGACGTGGCTGTAAAGATCACAAACATGGAGAAATTGAGGGAGGCCGCCCCTCTCACCGGGGAGGAACTTACCGACAGCGTGAGTATCGCGGTGTGTGTGAAATCACACGACACTCGCGAATGTCATGCAACTGTCATGCAGGAGTTGATGGCTAGCGCGATGGAGGATGTTCTGTCCGAGGCTCAGGAGATGCAGCATCTGCGACACCCCAACATTGTGCAGTTCCTCGGTGTCTGCACGGACGGCAAGCACGGCCTCATGATCGTCTCAGGTCACCTCGATTCATTCATCTGCTTCCTGACTGTGCGTCGCGTGTCCATCATTCTCAGAGTTGTGTAAGGGCGGATCACTGGACAAATATTTGGCCAAGAACAGACGGCTGCCGCTAGATGTGCGAAACAGATTCGTGAGAGAGGTACAGCACAGCAGACAGCGTCACGCGTCTCATCTAGATCTGTGTGTCGATTGCCGTCAGATATGTGAGGGCGTGCAGTATCTGCACGACCACGGAATCCTGCATCGAGACCTAAAACCGGGGAATATTCTCGTGAGGGCAGACAACCTTCACCTCTCGGTCGGTGGCCATAGCCTCTTGTTGTGTCTCGTGTCTGTCAGTTGGCTGAGTATTTGGTGATCAAGATATCTGACTTCGGTATGACGCGGAATGTTCAAGTGACGTCGAGCTCTGCTGCAGGTAAGCGGAGACATGGCATGGCGGAAGGCGGCGAGCGAGGTGCCTCTGTGTGTGTTGGTGCATTCGTGCCTGCACTGCAGATGGCATTAAGGGGACCTCCAATTATATGTCGTCTGAAGCTTTGGATCCAGACAACTGTAAGTACAACAAAAGCCGATGGGCTTGGGAACTTGAATGACTGCCGGTGTGTGCAGTGGGGAAGCCCTCTATGGAGGCGGACATATGAGCGGTTGGATGCATCATTGCGGAGCTGTGTGGCGGTCAGCAGATGCAACCTTCACTCGGACACACTTGCAGCCTATATATGTGATGTTCAGGTGGGCCTCCCTTTGAAGGCCAAAGTGCCGTAAATATCATGATGGCCGTTGTGGTCCGAAAGCAGGTGACCTGCCACGTTGACACATGTTGACAGATTCCCTGAAGGCCTTTTTTTGCACACGCGTGTCAGGTTCCCCGCATCCCCGATTCCCTGCCTGAGCACATCAAGGGTGCCATCAAGGTAAGCCGAAAACCTTTCTCGTGCTGCATTTCCCTTCCGATTGTGATTGCTGCTCAGAGTTGTTTCGCCTTCAATCCAAAAGATCGCCCCACAGCCAAAGAGGTACCTCACATGGACTTTTGGGCGAAGGCGTGCGCATGTCGACTATCTGCTTGCCTGACTGCTCGCTAGGTGTTGGCCATGCTGGACTCTCCATCTGGTTCGTCAGAAAATACACTTCCACTGCTTTGCGCTCTTGCCACAGGTAAAAGCCTTCATTGGCCGATGTTTTTCTGGCTGCGTGCAGAAGCGGTGTTGGCCCCCTCTCTCCCTGTGTCTCCCGTTGACGTGCCTCCTGCCGGCGTTTCATCGGGTATTCACGTGAGCATGGCCAGCACAGTGCCGGGGCCGTCGAGTTCGGTCTCTCCCGCACAGATCAAGCTTGCGGTTGCGGAAGAGCAAACAGGTCGGCTGCGCGTGTCTGTGTGAGGCATCTATACACACAAGGATACACTATAGATGATCCGTTGACTGCAGTCACTCCCACACCAGCCCCCACCAAACAACAAAACACCAGCCAGGTACACACGAACGAATCGATGCACCAAGTGTGGCCAGGACAGCTCTCTTTCCCACAGGCAAGGAAAAGGCGGTCTATGGTGAGACTCAAAGGTGCGTGGAGACACCATGAGGACGATTTGGCAGTTTGTCAGCTGGCTGACTCCTGTTGTTGCAGGAGGCGCGCAGTACGAGGGCGAGTGGGTTGGTAATACCTTCGATGGCTACGGTATACTGGAAAAAGCAGATGAGGGCAAATACGAAGGACAATTCAAGACCAATAGATATCACGTGAGCTGCTGACAAAGGAAGGGGTCTGACGAGTATCCACTCAATGCATTGATGCAGGGGCACGGAAAATGCATAAAAATCAATGGTGATGTGTACGAGGGCGAATGGAAGGACAACAGGAGACATGGCAAAGGCAAATTGACACATGCTGACGGATCCAGGTGCCCGAGGGACGAGACGAAGACATATGCAGGCAGGGCTGGTCGTGAATGCTGCAGGTACGAGGGCGATTGGGCAGACGACAAGCAGACTGGCTATGGCGTCGAGACATGGGCTGACGGATCGGCATACAAAGGATACTACACGTGCGTATACACAACTAATAACAATCGACCATTCGGACACAGAAGTGCATTTTCTGACTGCAAGGACGGCATGAAGCACGGAGAAGGCGTGTTCACGTGGCCCGATGGCAGCACATACGAGGGCCACTTCGTGCACAACAACCTGCAAGGATCCGGGACGTACAAATGGGCCGAAGGACGCTTCTACAGGGGACAGGTCATACGCAGCACACACACATACAGTGTCATACACCATCGCAAAGGTCTGCCCGCTGTGAATGCAGTGGGAGGGCAACAAAATGCACGGTGAGGGTCTCATGGAGTGGCCCGACGGACGCCACTACGAGGGCCCGTACCACGGAGACAAGAAACACGGATGGGGCAAATTCGTGTGGCCCGACGGCCGCTGCTACGAGGTGCATGAGAGACTCAAATCCCTTAAGCCACTTCATCATATGTGTCCTGTCTGGTATATCAGGGCGAGTGGAAGGACGGCAAGCAGCATGGAAAAGGGACATATACCACTGCATCAGGTAAGCACACACACACACACATACAGCTCAAGGGGTTGTGTGCGGATGTCGCTCGGGCAGGTATATCGAGGAGAGGTGAATGGGCTGATGGCATCAGGGTCAAATGGCTGACGGAAGCAGGTGTGGTGGGCTTCGCGTGCACAGAGGAGCTTCTCATTTATCTGTTGCGATGTGTTTTACAGAGGCGCCTGCCCGGGAGCAGCCATCACCGCAGGTCAAACACGTAAGGGAGACAGCAACTGAATTGCACACATGCCAATGGGCCGCCATCTTTGTGTTGATTCTGTGCAGACCATATTCGACGCCGTGGTGGCCGGCGACGTGGAGTGGGCTCGTTTGCTTGTCGAAGAAATGGGCAGCGAGATTCTCGACATCAGAAATGGAAAGGGGGTGAGCAAGAGATGCACTCATGGAGGGGTCTCTTTTCATCCTTTCTGCGCGCAGTGGACACCGTTCATTCGAGCTACCATGCTAGGTCACGCTGACATGATGTCTCTTATGCATGAGAGCAAACCTGACGTACTGCAGCAAATAACCGAGGTACCCACACACAGACAAACCATCTTGTGTGCTGCTGGTGATAATGAGATGTGTGTCGGGTGTGATGGAATGCAATAGGATGGCTACACCGCTTTGCACTTCGCTGCCGCCAATGGCCATGTTGCGGCGGTCAATAAGCTGCTGGCGTGGGATCCCAAACTGATCGATGCACGCGACAAGGTAAGAGACCACACACATGTCTCTGACGCCTCAGTGTGTCGATTGTGTGTGTGGTGATTGCAGAGTGGCGGCATTCATGATGGCTGCCGAGGGTGGTCATGTCGATGTGATGGCGGCCCTGTATGCCAAACGAAAGGACCTGCTGACACAGACAAACAATGTGAAGAGACACAAACGGAGATACACAGAATGCCCCTTGTCTGATTGATTGCCTTCTTCCTGTGTGCATGACACACACAGGACGGAGACACGGCACTCCATGTGGCTGTACTCAGTGGCAAATCCGCAGCTGTGTCTCAGCTGTGAGCGACACAAATGACCGACTAACGCGAATGTCTCATCCACTCTCTCTGTGTCCTTCTCAAAGGCTCGAGTGGGGCGGCGGTGCGCTGCTGAACATCGAAAACAACAGGGTGAGTGCCCACAGACATTCCCACCATCGATGGGCTAAGTGGTGTGCTCATCTCATTTCATGACGACAGGGGAAGACCCCGTGGGGATTGGCAAACGACAAGCCGGAGATCAGAGAGATCATGCGGCCGTACAAGCCTGCTTGTGGGCCTTGCTGCATGATCATGTGAGTCAGAGTCTGTCAGTTGCTCGGGTGTGCTTCGAATAAGAAGCCAGGAGGCACTGTGAGTGGGTGATCATGTGTCGTCGCAAATGACATGGCGAATACAAATGGCAGCCCTCAGCTTCTTTCTCGTGTTTTCATGTGAGGGGGCATGGATATATGCGTAAGCGACTGCGAGGGGGGTGAGATGTTGTGTTCTTGCCATGCATGAGACATCAAGACTTGATTGGAGATGTCCATCAACACGTGAGCATGCAGCCCTCACTTTCTCTCTGCATTGATGCTGCCCTGATTGCTGGTCAGCTGCTCACGGAGGCTGCGATTCTCCTCTTGCAAAGCGCCAAACGTCTGCGTCAGTGACATAAGGAGACACACACCTACGCCGATCAGCAGCCTCTGTTGGCATACACACCTGTTGGTTGACAGTCTGTCTGGTCCTCTCCTTGTCGAGGCAGCTCTTGAGCCGCCGATTCTCCAAGGCAGCCGCCTGCGACTCACGCTGGAGACGCAATATCGCCTGCCAAAAAAAACACACACACACACACACGCACACGCATGGACAGACACACATATACACAAACCCTCCCCGATTCGTGCATAATCTGGCCCCTTACGTCTTCGATGGTTTTGCCCTCCTGCTGTTTGGACGCCTCCGCCTTCTTCACTGCCTCACGTGCCTTCTGTCCCTTCTTCTCACCAGGCGGCCCCTCCGTCTTCTTCTTCTCCTTGACCACAGGGCATGAGGGCGATCGGCGCATGCACGCCAGTGGTACGTCAGAGGCCGCCCTGACAGATGAGACGTGCTGCCGAGAAGGGGGGCGGCGGGCAGACATCGCACTGACATGAGACATGCACAGGGCAGCAAACGGGGCACACTCGGGTGTTCTGTTATCTGTCTCCTTTTCTCACCTGGGGTGGTTCTCGTCGGCATGGTCGTACGCCGCCCTCTGCACCCGCTGGGCAGAGTTGCGCGTGTTGGACAGGAGAACGCGGGTCTGCGTGCTGACGAATGAGGACCACAAGAGCACCAACAATTACGTGTGCATCTTTCTTCACCCTGCGTACACTTGTCTGTATAGTTTGTCTTTCTCTTTCAGTATGGTGGCAATGTGTCGGTCCTTCTGGTCACGCAGACGCTTCTGAGACTCGATATTGGTTCTCAGACGCTGACGCGCAAAAGGAGACACAGACACCACATAACATGACCCGACCACTTTCTGTGTGCTCTACGTGTGCTCACGTCTGTGTAGTCCAGCTGTTTTGCGTAGTCGTTGTAGAGATTGTGGTAAGCCAATTCCTGCACTCACACACACACACACACACACACACAGAGAGAGAGGGGCATGATACCATCTCTCCCCGTCTGCAAGTTTGCCACGTGGTACATGTTCCGTCAGTGTGCTCGACAGTCGCCTTTCGGCCTCACTCAGGGAGGCAATCTCACTCTCATACGCCTGCATGCAGTCAGGTAGACAATCAACTACTAATTACACCCAGCGATCATCGATTAGTTGTGCGCACCTCTATCTTCCCCTGTTTGTCCACGCACTCCCCCTCCAACTCAGAAACGCGACGCTGCATAATGATAGACAGGCATGACCATTCAGTGTGTGCGTGATGGAGATTGAGATTGTGGGTCATTGTCACTCCTTGCCTGACCTGCAGAGTGCCCTTCTCCATCTTCATTTCCTCCATCTCTCCCTCCAGCAGCGCATGGTTGGAAGTGAGGTCCCTGTGGTCACTCAGAAGCGCCTCGTAGCTCTCCTTTGTGATCCTCTCCGACTCGTCCAGCCTCTACACGATACATTTGGGGTCGTTCCTTTGAGGTGCTTGATCCATCCATCCATCCATGTATGCAATCGGGTGCACCTGCAGCACGTCGGATTTGACCATCAGTTGCTGCTCCAGTTGGGCTACTTTCCGCGTCATGTCAGCTACTTGTGCGGCGAGTGATGCGTTCTCGGCCTGGAGCTCACCCCACTTGCCGCCCATCACCACTTCAACACCCTTCTTCATGATGTTGTTTTTCGTCGGTCCAACAAAAGACCAGTCCTGCTGTAAATTTCATTTGCCGATTTTTCATGCGCATCATGCGCATTACGTCATCCCACCAGTGCATGCAGCTAAAAGTCGGCAAATATGTCCTGCGCCTCCCGCGACGCGGTGGTCTTCTGGCTGCTGCGCCTGTTGCTGGCACTGTCGGAGCTGCTGTCGTCATCAGCGGCCACACCCTGCACACATACACACACACACATACGTATAGACACGTGTACACGGACAGGAACACGAGAGTGTGAACGGGTTGGTGGTTTGATCGACGCACCTCTTCGTTGTGCCCGAGTTTCTTGTCGAATGGCGGCACGGCAGTCGGGTCAGTCAGGGACGACCACACGAAACCCTAACGCACGTGAATCTGTGCAAACGATAGATACACGTGTGTTCTGCCATTACCTGGAAGAACGGGTGTTTTCTGACCTCTGCCGCACCATTGTACCCCAGCCGCTTGGTCTCATCGGCCTGTAGACAGACGGCAAGACACATGGGCACATGCGTAACACAGAGCCACCCGCCTCACCTGCATCAGGTTGGTGATGAAGTCCCTTGTGTGTGCATCGATCTTGCATCGGGGTGGGAAGCGAATGCTTTCCGGCGACCGCCTTGCCAACTCCTCTATGCGGCCTGACGGACCATCACTGCAGACACCCAGACACACGGACAGACACAGTGTGTTGGTGCCTGAGTGTGTATGTGCCAGGATGCTCAGGTACCCCTGTTGCTCGAAGTCACGGTAGCCAAATGGGGCGTCCCTGCAGCCACACAGCATACACAGATAGGAGTGGACGCGGCACACACATCCTCTCTATGGGCTCCTTACCCGACGATCATCTCATAGACAATGACGCCCAAACCCCACCAATCCACAGCCAGGCCATACCCAGCCCCACCGGCAGCAGCGGCAGCCTCGCCATCATCGTCGCCTAACCGATCTGCATCCACCTCTTGCCCGAACATCTCGGGCGCCATCGCGTGGAGAGTGCCGCAAATCGAATGAGTGCGACTGACATTCACACACTACAGAGATGGGGGCACCCATGTGCGTGTGGGTGTGCGCCTTTAGGTCTTACTTGTTGTGGATCTTTTTGGCCATGCCCAGGTCCACCAGCTTGAGGTGGCCTGTGCGCGTGACGATCACGTTGGCCGCCTTGAGGTCACGATACACCCACCCCAACCCATGCAGCCGCTCAAGTATCAACACCAGCTGCCACACACACACACACACACACACGTTCCTTCGCAGAGGAGATCCATACAGCTGAGTGTGTGTGCGCACCTCTGCAGCGTAGAATCTGGTTTTGTCTACGTCGAATCCCTTCTCGCACCGAATGTGCGTAAAGAGGGCCGCACCAGGGACGTACTCGAGCAAGAAATATAATGCAGAGGGATCCTTGAATGTGGATACACTGCATATACACGGGACACACAGACACACGCACAGATGAGTGTTAGTGCATTCGCACGGCGTGACTTACAGGTGGTTGATGCCCTTGATATTGGCAGCAGTGGTTTCCTCCAGTGCCCTTCGCTCATTCCACACATGCTCGGCCTGCTTGGCCGTCGTCAACTCATCCAGAAAGATCTCCTGCACACACACACACACACACTGCCAATGACCAGAGCCCTGGCCTTCTGTGTGAAATTCCCACCTTGAGTGCGAACAGTTGGCTGTCGTTCTTTCTGTTGCGGACCACCCACACGCTGCTGCGTGAGCCGCAGTGCAGCTCAGCCACCCTCTCCAGATTAGTGAGCGTCACCGGCTCAGACAGCAGATTGGTGGAGCTCGTCATTCATCAACTATGGCGTGTTGTGGCATCGACGTCACACGGGCCTCTCCGGCTGACCGACGAGAGGCTGAATGAGCTGTCTGGCCGGATCTCTCGTCTGGCGATTGCTTTGAAGCTCGCACTGTCTTCGTCCGGATTTCGGTGGCCTTTCATCGTCGTCGCGATGGCTTTGCGTCTATCGATGCGTCGCCTGGCGTTGATGCCTTTTGTCGTCAAGGCCGAGGGTCAGCTGACACGAAAGATGCTCATGCAGATCTGCTGCTTCCACTCTGTGTGTTGTCTGTTCAGGCGCCATGTCGGTGACGTGTAAGTACACCTCGGGCAAACACGCGCAGGTGAGGAAAGGGGGAGGAGCTGGGACATTTTTTGGTTGTCGATGAGCATCTGTGTTGATTTTGTGTGTGTGTGTGTGTGTGGCATATGTGGATGGGTGCAGTTCACTGACGAGCCGGCGAAGCTGGGCGGCCAGGACAAGGGGCCCAACCCACTTGGTGCGTATCCGTATGTGTGTGATGCAGGCACATGAGTGTGTCTGTTTGAAGGTGTCACATATGATGATGTTTGTTTGTGTGTGAGAACTGTGTGCTGCAGAGACGAGCCTGGGTGCCCTGTGTGGTTGTCTGCACGTGCTGAGTGTGGGAGTGGCCAACGAGATGAAGATGAAATTCGACAAGGTGAGTAAGATGTGGCCGTCATGCAGGTCAGACATCAACACACCTACACTGAGTGACGCATGTGTGTCGGCATGTGTGGGTCATCCGTCAGATCGACTGGACGGCCAAGGGTGAGCTCGATGTGAAGGGCCTCAAGGGAGACCCAAACGTTCAGAGCCACTTCCAGAAGGTGACGGTCGAGGGGAAGATTGCCACAAATGAATCGGATGATCGCATCCACGTGAGCCAATGTGTACACCACAGCACACACACACACACACACACATGGTATACACACATATGCATATACTTATGCACATATACGTATGTATGTGTATACCTCTCCCTCCCTCCCTCTCTCTCTCTCTGTATGTATGTGTGTGTGTGTGTGTGGTGTGTCATCAGGAGTTGCTCGAGAAGGTGGAGCGTCGATGCCCCCTGTCGAGTCTGATGGCCAACGTCAACGGGATGGAGTATGTGGCCACAATGACAAAGGCCTAGTTAGTCAACGACAAGAAAGGACCCGTTAGGAACGAGAAGAAGAGACCTTCTAGGATAGAGTGCAGTGCTTTTCGCGCGACAATTCTCTCCACTAGTCCTGTGCACACGAGTGGACATCGGTTCTCTCGCTGATCAATCAGAGGCACGCGACACATAGAGAACAAACGTTGCATCTCGGGGGAGACACCTTTGTCTGTGTAGACGAAGATGTACGTTGTATGCGAGACCGGCGCAGCTGACACTTCAAACTCTGCGGTGTTGTTTCATGGACACGATGCGTCTGTGCTGCTTCCATCCATCAAGCACACAGACGACACAATGTCAGATTTTTAAGAGCCTCACCTACCTGTCCAACAGCCTAGCACCCACCACAGACTTATCACTTCACTTAGCCCCCCTCCTCACGAGTGGGTGTCTCCGGTCGCTCTTGACAGGAGGTGTGTGGATGCTCAAGCGAAACTTGCCTGTCCTGCCCGCCACACTCGTGAACACAATCACTTGACTGTCGCCCTTCTTGGTCAACCAAAGCTGCTGACTGGGGATAGAGGTGGGTGTCGTCTGTCTGCGGGGTTTATGTGATGCAGTGCAGCACGATCCAGACAGACACAGAAAGGGCCATCGGACAGCTGCCACACTCACACAGTCAAACCGGCAAGCCAGACAGACAGACAGACAGGCACTTTACCCCCGGGCAATCAGACACACACAGCCTAACCCAGCGAACACCGAAGCAGACCCCTGCACGTCAACTGGAACCGACACAGACACCACACAGACAGAAAGACACACCGCACACATCAGGTCATAGCACACTTATCTCCCGCGCTGCCCTTTGATCTCTCTGCACCGCAACACAAAAGTGGCAGCTGCTGTCTGTCAGGCAAACCCAGCTGGACAGACGAAAGGCCTTACACACTCCACACACACATCAGAGTCTGACCAGAAGAACCTATCGCTTGTACTTCTCCATGATCTCTCTGATCTCCGGCTTCCAATCGGGCACCTTGTCCCAGGGCGTCTTCCCCTGTTGTCATGTCATCAGATGAGATGAGCACACCGCTCAGCCCATCGATGGTGTGAATGTCTGTGGCACTCACCTTATTGTTTTTGATGTCCAGCAGCGCACCGCCGCCCCACTCGAGCCTTTGAAAATGACACACACACACAGAGAGAGAGAGAGAGAGAGTGGGGATGAGATGTTCGCGTCAGTCATTCGTCTGTGTCTCACAGCTGAGACACAGCCGCAGAGCGGCCATTGCGTGCAGCCCCATGGAGTGCCGTCTCGCCGCACTGTGTGTGTCATGCACACAAAGGAAAGACAATCAAGCAGATGAGAGAAGACTGTGTTGTCTCCAACATTGTTCGTCTGTGTCAGCAGGTCCTTTCGTTTGGTATAGAGGGCCTCCATCACAGCAACATGACCATTGAAGGCAGCAAACATGAATGCCGTCCAGCCAGTCTGCAATCAACACACACACACAGACACACTGAGGCGTCAGAGACATGTGTGTGCTCTGTTACCTTGCTGCGTGCATCGATCAGTTTGGGATCCCACTCCAGCAGCTTATTGACAGCCGCAACATGGCCCTCCCAGGCAGCCCAGTGCATGGCATTGCAACCATTCTTTTACATTCCATCACACAGCCAACACACATCTCTCCTCATCATCAGCACCACACGAGGTCGTTTGTCTGTGTCGGTACCCAGTGGTCTGTTTGCTGCAGTACGTCAGGTTTGCTCTCATACATGACCGACATGATATCGACGTGATCCTTCTCTGCAGCCAACAGGAAGGGTGTAGCCTGCGCACAGGGACGAGGACACACAGACCAATGAGGGCATTTCTGTCGCCTTCACAATCGTTCCATACCTTGTCACCACTCTCGTCTCGTTTGTCGAGTATGTCCGGGCCATGCTTTTTGATGAGGCCAATGACGGACTGCACATCGGCGTCCTTGACGGCATCGAAGATGTCCGCCTGACACACAACCAACACAATGACAGCGACCCATTGACGTGTGGGATTCAGCTGCTGTCTCCCTTACGTGTTTGATGTTTGGCGGTTGCGGTGACTCCGGTCGCCTGCCGGGCGCTGACGGCGACACGTGAGGAGCTGGCGAGGGAGTGACTGTAGGACACGACCAGATGAGCACACATGGCTGCAGTATGTCATTGGATTATCTTGTCCGTCCGATGGCCAACCGAGTGTGTTGTTGGGTCGGGGGCCGGAAGGAGTAACTGGCATGCACATCACACATCAACCGATCAGGCCCGATTATCCACTCGATGAGCATTCGTTTCGTGATGTGTGTGTGTCACCTGGCCGGCCCTTCCCACTGGTCAGTTTGTCGAGCAGGTGTCACCATACAGTAGCAGCACATCAGGTGCACAGAGACAGGCAGGCTGCGTCACCTCTTGTGCGCTCGGCCGGCTGCGCGCAGTGAAGGCGAAGCAACTCTAATGGACCAGATGAACAACGAGAGAGCTGCATCCGCCATATGTGCAGCATTGTGCGTGCGATGTCTTGCCTGTATGGCCTGCTTGACATGGACGGGGATATTAGCGGGAATGGGGGGCGTCTGCACCACACAGAGACGCAAATCTGCTGACGATTCTGGTGTGTGGCTGGACACACCTCTTTGTTCTCGTATATTTTCTCCTTGATTTCCCCCTTGCTGAGGCCGGCGAAGGGCGGAGACGCTGCAAACATAAGCGACCACCAGCACGCCTATGTGCCCTGATTTCTGTGTCTCACTCACCACCGAATATCTCTGCAAAGATGATTCCGACTGGCCAAATGTCCGACTTGAGCTCTAAGTGGGGCCCTGAAAGACGGCGGGGGTCTCACGAAATGACACTTATGTATATCATTGTGCAAGTACTTATCGCGTAGGCCTCTGGAGGGGCATATATGGGAGTTCCCGCTGCAGTTCCACACACAGGCGTGCTCAGCTCTCAGGAATGGATGAATCGGAGTGTCTTTTACCAAATTCAACGACGCTTTTGTGTGTGGCTTCGCCTGGCATCTCCCAAGCGAGTCCGAAGTCCGACAATTTGACATTTCCATCGTCATCGAGCTGGATAGAGCGACAATGTATCGATGAGCATTCAAGTGCATGTGGGCCCTCCCTTGTTACTCACGAGTATGTTTTCGGGCTTGAGGTCGCGATGACCGATGCCCAGGCTGTGAGCATGAGCTAAGCCCCCACATATCTGAGACACACACAGACCAAAGTGACCCAGCCGTGTGTGTGGAGCCTCGTCTCAGTGACACCTGCTTGGCATATTTGTACTGTAGGTTCTCGGGAAGTCCTCCGGCTCGTTGCCGCAGCTTCTTAAGGGTCTTGTCCAGTGAGTCGACATAGAACTCTGTATGAAGCGGGAATACAACAGCACGGTGACCTCCCAGAGTCGTCTCATCGCCATGTGCTTGCGTCCTCACCCAATACGATGAAGGGGATCCTCTTGTCAAAACACACGCCCAGCAGCTTGACCACATGAGGATGCTGCAGACGGGCCAGCATGTTTGCTTCCTGCATCACCCTCTCTGTCACACCCTGCATGACAAAAGATCCAATGGCATGCACTTCGCTGGAATCGGGTGGCTGCCGCCTACGTCCTTTCCCAGCTGCGCGGTCAACTCTCGTTTCGCTCTCTTGATGGCGACTATCCGCTCCCCCCACTTGGCCTTATACACCTCCCCGAATGTCCCCCCTCCTGAATCGCATCACGCCATCGTGACGAATAGTGGGCAGGACCGACGCCATTGTGTTCTCTACCGATGCAGTCCTCATCATCATCCCAGTAGAGGTCATTCAAACGGATGGGATTGTGCTTCGTTGGCAGACTCGAGAGAAGACTTTAAAATTTTGGGAGACGGCGAGCTTGGAGAGGGGGCCGCCCCACGAGTTCAAGATACACACTCTATTTATCCATGTCTGTGAACTATACGGGATAACTATGAGTGTTGCAGAACGACACACTTTGCAGTCAGTCCACAAAAGTGACAGACAGAGGCCCCACACCACAGACTGACTTATCACTTCACTTAGCGCCCCTCCTCACGAGTGGGTGTCTCCGCTCGCTCTTGACAGCAGGTGTGTGGATGCTCAAGCGAAACTTGCCTGTTCTGCCCGCCACACTCGTGAACACAATGACTTGATTGTCGCCTTTCTGCAGCCAAAGAGACACAAGCCTATCAAACATGTCCTTGTGTCTTCGCCTGCTCGAGCGCGTACCATCAGTGTGACGTCAGTGAGCAGTGTTGCATTCGTCTCGTAAGGGTCAGGACTGCTCGTCCGTTTCCCTTGCGAGTCAATCACAGTGATTCCCACACGATGCGACTACACAGATACACAGACAATACGGACCAAAAGCTCAGTCGATTGATGCATTTCACTCACCTCGAGAGACTCAAGCAGGATGACAGCCTTGACGTTCTCAGGGGTCGTAACGGCAAAGGTGGGGTTCTTATCAAAAGATGACGGGCTTGGACCTTTTGCTGACTCTGCAGCCCACTCACCATCATAGTGCTGCGATATCCATCCGCGGGGGATCAGGGGAGGCAGCTCGTGAATGGTGGCTCGGACGGTCGAGAAGACTGATAGGGTGAAGTTAAGTCCTCCTGACAGTCATGCAGTCATGGAAAGCTGCTGAATCTGTGTCGAGATTGAAGTCAGACGGCTGATTGAAGCGCCTGAACGACGCACCGATGCCATCCGTCTTTCCTGAATTGACGTAGACAGCACAATCATGCCTTGGGGTGCGTCTCAGTCACACTTACTTCCAAGGCAGCTTGAACTTGTCCAGCTTGATCATGAGGTTGATAGAGGACCCGTAGTAGCAGTCGCGAGCCGTATTCTCGCCTAGGATCCTCTCGCTGCCGGCATAGATGTTGGTGGAGATCCGGATGATCTTCTCCTTGGCCTTCTTGACATTCTTGCCGCTGGTGACGTGGCGGTGTAGCTGCACCCACACATTCAGCTCCGACTGATAGAAATCGGCCGTCGTGGGGTGGAACACGAGGGCAAACTGAGGACTGAAGCCCGAGATCATGCGCGCGCTCGAAACAAAGGCCGTCTGCCCACTCGGGTTGAAGCTGATAAGAGCAGACAGAGACAAGTGTCGTGGTTGTATTTGTAGGTATGTGCCTGTGTGTCGCTTCACCATGAATGAATGTCGACTCGATGAGGGAATCGCGAGGGGTGGAAGTTATAGGCAATGGACATGCCACGGAACTCTTTCGTAACGTCATCCCAGCTAATCCAGAACCTCCCGTCATCAGACCGACGCTGAGACAGGAGAGGAAGGAGACAAAGACATGTCAGCCACATACATTCTCCGTCGGGTACCGCTTGATCAGGGTCGTAGTTCAGCTGTTGCCTCATTTTGGATGTCCACGAACCGGGATCGTCTGGCGAATACTTGCCTTTCCATCGCTGCTCTCGCCAAGGATTGCGAACCAGCAGCAGCTGACGTCCATCAACCTCCACTGCCTCAAGCACTGAATACGCATGCCCGTACGCCAAACCTGATGCCACAGGAAACAGAAGCCATGGGCTCTGACTTGCTGACACAGCAAGACATCCCATCCGTTCTGCGTGATATGGGCTCTGGCTTGTCCCTAGCCTCAACGGGATCAATAGGCTGAGAGGGAAATGGCAGAGACACATAGAATGTATGTATATGCTGTCGACAATTGGCTTACTCGTGCCGGCGAGGACAGGCACGCAACGGCTTGACGGCCGCTGAGAGGCCAATAGATTTCCTTCCACAGCTTGTCTGCGTCAAACCCCTTGACGACTGAGAACTGAAAATGTAGCAACTCGACGATCCATCCGCTGAGCAGATAGAGGTTGTCTGGCGCATGACTTCCGTCTATCGCGTCATATCCACCCATCGTCTGCATGAAGCAATGAACAGGAGACAGAACACCAATGCATGGTTGGAGCGCGCACCTTTCTACCTTTGCATATGCCTTCTCGAACAATGTGACCCAGGTCTCTCGAGGGATCGAAGACACCGCGGTGAGCTTGCGAGGAGCCTCGCTGCCAGTAGGGGTCAGCGAAGGAATAGTGTCGTCGAGCAATACCTTGCGAGGACCACCATTGAAGTATAGCCGACACACGTACTTGCCCTCGGGGCTGATGACCGGCTCCGTACTCGACAGGGACACTTTGGGGTATATGCCGCTGGACAGATGCCGCTGGCCGCTCTGCTCTTCACAATTGGCGAGTGCCACAAGAGAGCTGAGGAAGGCACAGTCGCCTATGCGGCCCTGGACGACACTGTCACTTGAAAGAGAGCGAGCGGCCACCACTGGGTTCTGGAAAAGATCCGGCAGACGCTTCCACTTGTCAAACGAGGGTGAGAAGACGTTCCCGATGCTCTCATTAAGCGGCAACCGCTCATCAGGATCATCGAATTTCCGCTGACTGCTATGGTTCGAGACGAGAAGATCTGAATCACCGTCTCGCCACAAAGGGAACACTCGTCCGCCAATTCTGCTCCCCTCATCGAGGATCTCCCGCTCGCTCTTGGGCTTTCGCAGCCAACTGGGGACGATGATGAAACCTGAGCCGATGTGCGTGGCGGGGAAGCCTGGAAGCAGCTTCTCCCGCGCTTCCTCGAGGATGCCCTCAATCTCTGCCAGCTGGGCCGCAATCACCTTGTTGGGCGACCTTGCAGCCTGACCTGCAAGCAGCTGCTGCACATATCTGTCGGGCAGGCCGAGGGCACGTGCCATCTGCTGAGGAAAGTTCGTGGTGCTGAGAGGGACTTCGATCGAGCCGAAGACGTTGTAGTGCTCTTTGAGGCGGCCGTCCGCTTCTTCAGACAGCCGCTGCTGCTTCTGTTGCGAGGATTCGCCGACAGTAGGCATCCATTCCCGCAGCACTTGCTGCATTTCCGTATCGCAATCCTCGAGAGCCACATCATAAGGCGTGCGGCCACTCTGCAATGGAGACACAAAGAACTATTGGTGTTGGACTTCCGTGCATCCGGCTTCCTTACGTGGTCTCTGATCTGCAAAGCGTCCGTGCCAAACATCTTCAGCAGCTTCTCAACCAGCAACACGTCGTCGCCTCTCGAGACGGCCAGATGCAACGGCGTCTGGCCATCAGGCTGCAGCCAATCAGCACTGATGCTGCCAAGCCCTGTTTGATACTTATCGTTGTTGGTACCCTTCTCTGTTTGACAATGCGCTCTCTTGAAGCCAGAAGGAAGACGATCTCTTCATCATAGTTGTCCGAGAATAGCGCGAGGTAAAGGGGCAAATCGTCGTCCCTATCGCCCATGTCCAGCAGCTGAGGGCAGCCCTTGGCCTGGGCAGCCGTCACGAGCAGGCGGACGCAGTCACCTTTGCCGCAATCCGCGGCAACACACAGTGCTGTCTGGCTGGCCTGATGGACAGACAGGAGACACACACTATGCATCACAGTCGGAGTTGCGTAGTTCCCTGTTTAGTCGCGCCCTTACGTGGTCCCTCATGAGCAGAGCTTCTATGTCGGCCACCTGCAGCAGCACCTCCATGCCGGATGGACTTCCATTGGCAGCGGCCTCGTGAAGAGGCGTACGGCTCTACAGCCACAAGAAGCAAACTGAGTGAGACAGGTGTCTTGCCATAATGTTTGTTGGTTTCTTAGTACCTTGGTGTTCCGAGTGTTGATACGCTCCGCGGCTACCAGCAGCCGAGTGACGTGTGTGTGGCCTCCAAGGGCACACAGATGAAGGGCGGTATTGCCATCCTGAGCAAACACAGACACATCTGCGTCCCTCGAATCAAAGTAAAGCTGACCTTGTCTTTGAGCGCGATGACAGCGGGGTCAGTGAGCGTGACGAGCCGGGCCACGAGCTGAGCATTGCCGGCCTCGGCTGCTGCATGGATGGGAGTCTTCTGTTCCTGTAGGAGAAAGCCAGACAAATTTGAGTGCATGCCATCAATGCCACCAGCCATTTGTCTCACATCGTCCTGTGTGGCAATCAACTTTTGGAGGCCAAAGTAGAGCAAGGCCTCAACGACGTCCCCCCGACTTGTCCTCGCTGCCCAGTGCAGCAGCGTGCGCCCGTCCTGCAAAGGAAAGTAGACAAGCCCTGCCTGCCCCCGATCCCCCCCAGTCGATGAGTACTTGTGTGGCCTCGTCGTTGTCGATGATCCATCGGAAGTGTCGTTTATCCTCACTGCTGTCATCGTACTCCTCCATGAACTTCGATATGCTATTCGCGAGTGCTGATAGTGAGTCCGTCCCGCGCCCTACTTTGCCTTTCAGGTCCAGGACAAAGGCCAAAATGGCCTCGCCCGCTGCCTGACCCCCTCTGACTTCCATAGGGGACTACAAAAGAAGGGTGGGGGGAGACGGGGGCTTCCCGCATGCAAGCTCGCGCGTTCCCTCCCCTTCCCGCTCCTCCCCCGATGAGGCGTGGTTCTGTCCAAATAGACTCCATACGACTGCATGAGCTCTACTGGGACGATGAAGTGGATTGCATCGGTACGAACCAACCATCCAGTGGCATCCACTGCCTCGTGTTGTGGGGTCCGTGTCAGGGGACGGTGCGTTTGCTGAGGTGTACAAGGGGCAGTGGAGGGACCAGACTGTTGCCCTCAAGATTCCGAAGAAACACCTCATCAATTCTTTGGGGAAGGAGGTGCGTGTGTAGTCAGCCTCGACCAGGTCCTCTGTATGGCAACAACGCCGCTGATTTTGTGTCATCAGAATCTCGTAAAGGAGGTCGAGGCCGAGGCCAAATTCGTGGCAGGTATGAAGCATCCCAACGTGGCCAAGCTCCTGGGTGTCTGCTACGACAAGAGAATCCCGTTTCTTGTCCTCGGTAGGGCTGGCCGCACCATTGGCGACAGTCTTGTGCAGGTGTCTGTTGTGCAGAGTTCTATGTGGACTCGTTGCGGAAGTGTCTCAGCATACTTCAAAGGAGGGGCGGCCTCCCCGAGAACAAGAGATACATGCTGGCCAGGCAGGTTAGGTCACATCGGTAACACAAACACATCGCCATGACAGCTGCCCTCATGCATCTCAGCTGTGTGAGGGGCTGGCCTACATACACAGCAAGGGCGGCATCCATCGAGACATCAAACCGGAAAATGTTCTGGTTAGGGAGTGTTCAGATGAATGAGACCGCATGATCGATGTGTCTCCCTTGCACGTCTCTTCTCATCTGGGGGTCCGCCAGCTGGATGATGACCAAAACGTGAAAATATCCGACTTCGGACTCTCCAGAGAGTTGCAGGGCACACACCACAGCTCCAGCCACTTCGGTGAGTCACTGACTTCACTGCATACGGGTTGAGGACCGTACGTTGTGTGTGATAATCAGGTGGGACCGTTGTCTATGCGCCTCCTGAAGCATTCGCAGACAGTCAGCGCACACATGCAGGAGATGCCATCCATTCGCTTCTCTGTGCACGTCAGGGCCCCAGCTGACGGACAGGTCGGACATCTGGTCTGTTGGCTGCATCATCGCGGAGTATTCGGCGGTGAGAAGTCCACAGACACAATCAGCTCTCTGAGAGGGCATATCGTCACGTGATATTTGTCAGGGTCCAGTCCCTTTGCCGGTCTGAGTATGAGACAGATTGAGCAGACGATCTGTGAAAACAAAGAGGTACAGACTTTCGGACGCCTGAAATTTGCGCTGTGTCTGTGTGTCGTGCAGACGCCGCCCATTCCTCCAAAGATCCCCGTCAATGTCAAACAGGCCATACAGGTAACGTCAGATCTGACGTGCGATGCTGAATGCAGCTGTCTCTTGTGGTCCATCAGAGTTGTTTTGCCTTCAACCCACGGAGCCGGCCGTCTGCCCATGAGGTGAGCTGACGCAGTCTGCACAGCCGAGGTCAATGAGAGGACTGTTGTCTGAACTTTGTGCGTCTCTGTGCATCTGACGTGCCGCATATAATGATATCAGCTTTTGAACAAACTCAACGACAGAGGCCGGACAGGTGACACACACCACACCACCAAATGCTCATCAAATCGACGATTTGGGCATCATGATTGGTGTGTGTCCTGGCAGTGACACCCGACCCGCGCGGTGGGCCACCGGACGGACAAGACGACCAATGAGTGCAATCGTGTGTGTCTGTTTGATGATGCAGTCAGTCCCACGCCAGCACCCGCTCCGGCCCCACAGCCGCAGATCAAACACGTCAGGGAGACAGCAGCTGAATCCCACACGCCAATGGGCCGCTGTTTTTGTGCTGGTTGTGTGTCAGGCTGACATCTTCGATGCCGTCAAGGCCGGCGATTTGCAGTCCGTCCGTTTGTTCATCGCCCGAGATGGCAAGGACATACTCGACAAACGAGACAACGCGGGGGTATGCAGTCGTGGAGACGGCAGAAATGCACTCATTGGTCTGTCTGTGTGTTCTCATTCATGCAGGACACGCCCTTCCTGGAGGATGCACTGTATGGTCATGTGGGCGTCATGTCTCTTATGTATGAGACCAAACCTGACGTACTGCAGCAAACAAACAAGGTACCGACACAGACAAATCATCTTGTGTGCTGCTGGTGATGAGGAGATGTGTGTTGGCTGTGATGGAATGCAGTCTGGTCGGAATGCCCTGCACTGGGCTGCTCGGGAGGGCCATGTTGCGGCTGTCAATAAGTTGATGGAGTGGGATCCCAAACTGATCGACGCACGCGACGAGGTAACAGAGCACACACATGTCTCTGACGCATCAGTGTGCCGATTGTGTGTCTGTGTGTGTGGATTGCAGAATGGCTACACGCCATTCATATCGGCTGCCTATGGTGGTCATGTCGATGTGTTGAAGGCCCTGTATGCCAAACGAAAGGACCTACTCACACAGAAGGACGACGTGAGACAACACAGTCTTCTCTCATCTGATTGACTGCCTTTCCTTTGTGTGTATGACACACACAGCGCGGCGAGACGGCACTCCATTTGGCTGCAATCTGTGGCAACTCTGCGGCTGTGTCTCAGCTGTGAGCGACACAGATGACTGACTGACGCGAACATCTCATCCCCACTCTCTCTCTCTCTCTCTCTGTCATTCTCAAAGGCTCGAGTGGGGCGGCGGTGCGCTGCTGGACATCAAACGAAAGGACGTGAGTGCCCACAGACATTCACACCATCGATGGGCTGAGTGGTGTGCTCATCTCATCTCATCACAAACAGGGGAAGACGCCGTGGGACAATGCGCCGTGGAGCGAGTCGGAGATGAGAGAGATCATGAAGAAGTACAAGCGATAGACTTTCTGGTCTGATGTGTGTGAAGTGTGTGAGGCCTTTCGTCTGTCCAGCTGGGTGGGTTTGTCTGACAGACAGCAGCTGCCACTTTTGTGTTGCGGTGCAGAGAGATCAAAGGGCAGCGGGGAGATAAGTGTGCTATGACCTGATGTGTGCGGTGTGTCTCTCTGTCTATCTGGTGTCTGTGTCGGTTCCACTTGACGTGCAGGTGTCTGCTTCGGTGTTCGTTTCGTCAGGGTGTGTGTCTGATTGCGCGCGAAGTGCCTGCCTGTCTGTCTGTCTGTCTGACTTGTGTGTTTGAGTGTGTGAGAGTGGCAGCTGTCCGATGGCCGAGTCTGTGTCTGTCTGGACCGTGCCTGCACTGCCTCACATAAACCCCGCAGACAGACGACACCCACCGCCATCCCCAGCCAGCAGCTTTGGTTGACGAACAAGGGCGACAGTCAAGTGATTGTGTTCACGAAAGAGGCGGGCGAGACAGGCAAGTTTCGCTTGAGCATCCACACACCTCCTGTCAAGAGCGACCGGAGACACCCACTCGTGAGGAGGGGCGCTAAGTGAAGTGATAAGTCAGTCTGTGGTGTGGGGCCTCTGTCTGTCACTTTTGTGGACTGACTGCGAAGTGTGTCGTTCTGCAACACTCATACTAATGCACATCGCGCACATAGCAGGACCGAGGACACCCAACTGTGCAGTCGGGAAATGTCGGCTGCATACAATGACAAATCCGCAGCTGTGTCTCAGCTGTGAGCGACACAAATGAATGACTGCCGCGAACATCTCATCCCCACTCTCTCTCTGTCTGTGTCATTCTCAAAGGCTCGAGTGGGGCGGCGGTGCGCTGCTGGACATCAAAAACAACAGGGTGAGTGCCCACAGACATTCACACCATCGATGGGCTGAGTGGTGTGCTCATCTCATCTCATGACAACAGGGGAAGACCCCATGGGACAGGGGGGCAAGAGAGTCGGAGATCAGAAAGATCATGGAGAAGTACAAGGGATAGTCACTGCTGCCTGATGTGAAGTGTTTAAGGCCTTGTCTCTGTCCAGTGTGTGTGTGTGTGTGTGTGTGTCTGGGGCTGCCTGATAGACAGCAGCTGTCACTCTGTGGTGTGAGGTGCCTCAGCAGCTCAGCCTGCCTGTGTGCTGTCCTTCTACCTGGTGTCTTTTTCGGTGCCACGGGTGCTGACTGAGTGGTCAGCGTCTGGCCGGCTGTATGGACCGAACACACATGTCGTGCGCACGTTGATCGAGACAGCGACTGATTCGACGCAGTCATGTACTGCTCGCTCTCGCATCCACGGCAACATGCCCATCACGGGTTTGCACACACGAACCCATCGATGGATATGTGGAACAACTGAGTGTCACAAATCACTGGCTGGCCCCAGCGGCCTCATCGGCCGGCCCTTTTGATGCGTGCTGTTGATGCACGATGGCCCGCTGGCTGCCGCTGCCTCTGTAGTCCTCGATGCGGAAAATGATGTGATGCAGCGACCACTGCACCGAGGGACACATGTGACACACAGAGTAAGGCACACAAAAAGCATCGACGATAAAGGGAGCGTACCAGTAGGATGGGCGAGATCATGGACAGACAGCCAATAATAGCCCACATAAGCCTGCAGGGCACACACATCGAGGCAGAGACATGCACATACAAGACAGCCCACCGCAATTTGCGTACAGTGGGTTGCGACGCTCCGGGTCGTCCCTGGGCACAAATCGCTCCAGCATGGTCCCCGAGATGCCTCCAGTGGCGAGTTTAGAGAGGAATACGGGCGCCGTGTCGAGTGCGATGAACGTCCCCTCTCGACCCTCAGGAGCCACAGTGACACTGTACTCATACAGCTTGGGGGACCACATGGCCTCGCCGAGAGACAGCACCACTATGGAACACACTGCCGCTGTGTACGAGGTCGACACCTGACATGCAAATGCATCAATGGCCGCCATTGAGAATACATGAAGGAGTGTATATGTGGCCTTACTGCCAGTGCGAATGGGCAGACGGATGAGAGAAAGCAGCCGATCTGCAGGAAGTGTGTGATAGGCCATTGAATATGCTCGGCAAAGACCGTCGCCAGGGGCACCAGACCCACGATCTGCACACACGCACAGAAACACAAAAGAGCCCAATGCACATTTGCACGTCCATGAGTTCTGTGCTCACTCACTCACCAGCATGGGATTGAGGCTGATAATGAGATCGTATGGCGCGTCTGGGCCGTGCATTCTGGTCAGATACTTGGGTAGTGTGGCGTCCATGTGGCGCAGATTCATCCGGCAGCCCACGAAGATGGCCGCCAGGCCGCAGTACCGCCAGAATCGTGCCTGCGTCAGGACCTCGTATGTGATCTGCACGGGGCTGGCTCTGCAGACGCACATACACACAGAGAGACATGTCGATGTATGTGAGAGAACCAAGTGCTGGCAAGGCACCTTCTGGTCTTGAACTCTTCGGGCTGTGCATCGTGGCGCACCACAACGATCTCGCGAATGCAGCACGCCAGGCTCATATTCACCACAGACAGCTGACAGAGATGGAGAAGAGGGGTGTTTGCGTGCAATCTTCAGCTGCTGCATGGTGCCCTTACACATGTGCCGACGGATAAGAGTATTCTGTAGGTGGTGAGGTGGAACACCGCGTTGCCTATGTGGAGGTCCAGCCCCTTCTTGTACTGGTGACGGATTATATTGGACGTCACACCTGCACCGCGGGGAGAGACACGGCAACGATGTCCATGTGTGGAAATGTGATATGAATGCGTACCTCCCAAGAAGGCAGCGAGGTTCATGATCACGTAGAAAATGCTGAACGCCAGCGCTGATGAGGAAACAGGCATGTAGACGAGAGGAATACTGGAGACAAGCGTTCTCTGGCCCACTCACCACGAGTAGGCTCTGATGTGTACCTGTACATCATGTGCATATGATGAGCAAGTATGCGTGTACGGCTGCATTCGCACTGGAGATTTGCGAACTCACCTCCTCACACCGTGACTCAGAAGAGGGATGCCAAGCGAAGCGCCGACAGGGAGACCCACCAACTGAACACACACAAGAGACAGACAATCAGACGCACCCCACACAAACAAAGCCTTCCCCACCAGCACAGCAACGGTGATATGTGAGCTGTATGTGAGGCACAGGAGCACACGGCTGACAGTGAGAATGGTTGACCCCAGCACAAGGCTGGCTCTCACGCCAAGGTTGTCCACCGCAGACCCTACGCATAAACCCACGAGCGACGACAGAAGACCAAAAACCCCTGCAAGTCAGCACAGACTAGTCACCACGTGGCTGTCCTCTTCATGTCGCGTCATGCTCACCGTATATCCACCCAGCCTCCCTATCGCTAAACCCATATTCTTCACTGCAACATTGCAAAAGGGACAAGATGAGACAAAGCCGTCTTTTGTCAGGCGGTGTCCACCTAAGGAAGAGCACGAGGATGAATGACATGCTAAAGTAAGCAAAGCTTTCTCCCATCTTCATCGCATACACGAACCACAGCTCTGATCACGAGACAGCACCAGAGAAGACAATACAATTGCAGTGAATGTTGGCAGGTTTTTGCGTCTCTGAGTCCATCTCACCTCTGGGACATCGCATGAGGCGCCCGAACTGCCCTGTCGTCGTATTGGCTCTCAGAGGTGAATCTTCGGTGGGCCTTGCTGCTGCAGGAGCCGCTGCAGCTGAGGGCACCTCATCAGCAGAGGTCTGTGACCTGCTGGGAGGACTCCAAGTCACAGCGGGCTCGAAATTCTCCATCTCTTGCGCGTGCAGGGGGGAAAGTTCGCCGCGAAACCGACCGAATGATCAAGCGAATGATATTCCCATCACTCCGTATTGCATACTTTCATCCCATCACTCGTAGAAGACTCATTCCCTCCTCATTCCCTCACACAGTTCCCTTTTCCCTCCATTCATTGAATTTGCCATGATGAAGCTCCATTACTCACTTATCGGGTTGGTGTGGATGGGCGCCTTCCTTGACATGATGTACCACACCACCCTCACGTCCGTGCTGCCTAAGGCCCTCACCCTCACCAACCCGCTGATGCACGCACTCATGTTTGAGATCCGCCCCACCGTGGCCATCCTCGGCGCCCCGGTGGCTGGGATTCTCATTCAGAGGTGGGCCCGCAGTGCCAAGATCTCCGTCCGTCTGTATTGCAATGACCTTATTTGTGTGTGTGCAGGTATGGCTGGCGTGCGATGATCTACCTTCCCTTTCAACTCTTGGCCATCGCGGGAGCTGTCCTGTTCGTCGGGGTACAGCAGCAGTGACACAGGACATCCCCCTGGTGTCACGCTTTCATTTGTCCTTTTCTCCCCCTTTCAGAACAATTCTCTGACGTATTTGTGTGTCCGCATTCTGCAAGGCCTTGCTGCAGCCCTGCTCTACCCGGCGGGCTTCACGGCAGTCTCACGCACACACGACGAGACCGCCAGAGGCACCGCCGTGGCCATTGCACTGACAGGAGGTGAAACCAATCCAACAACACACCCATCACGGTGTCTGCCAATTTGTGTGTTTGTATCAGATGTCGCCATTATCATTGGTCCATTGCTCGGCGGCCTCCTCTACGACTGGGGCGGCCGGCATCTGCTCGCTGCCTCGATGCTGGCCCTCACCGTGCTCACCCTCCTGGCGCTCTTCTCACAAGCCAACTCGGCAAGAGGCCTGCCGTCGGACATACCATCGATCAGAGACGGTCTGGCGGCCAGCACCAGCCATCAGGCTGGCCAGGGCGATCTGGAGAGCATTCCGCAGGCGTCGAGCACTGGGGGAATGCGGCCGGGCGGCATGACAGGGGGCGGCAGGGGGTACGGCGTGTTCGCCAACCTCCATTTTGTGGTGTGTCTGGTGGGCCTGCTCGTCCCTTGGATGACCATGGCGGCCATACAGGTGACGAGTCTGGCGAGATGGCCGCCAGCTGGCGCCTCACCTCACGTGTGTGTGGGTGTGTGTCTCTTCAGGCGCTGTTGCCGCTTTATTACGCGACGAGGTACCACTTGTCAGCCAGCTACATCGGTCTGCTGCTCACGCCGCCGACACTCATGGAAATCATCATGGGCATCGGCACAGGCGCACTCATCGATATGTATGTATCCCATCCACCCACCCACACACAGAGACACACCCCCATCCATGCACTTCTCTCCCCGTTGTCAGATGTTCGCTGTCTCACCAGCTGATCACCACTATCGGGGGCCTGCTGTGTTCGGGCAGCATCTTCCTGCTGGCGGGGCGGCTGGAGACCCACCAGCTGGACGTCTGCCAACCCATTGCCCTCACACTCTTCGGAGCTGGGTTCGGGGCGGTGGAGACTTCATCGACGGCATTCGCAGGTAAAAGCGCGGGAGGGAGTGAAGGAGAGTGACGCGTGGGAATTGTTGTGCCCAATGTGCATGGTGGGGCTGTTGCAGCGAAGTTTATGGACGACCATGGAATTGCTGATCATGGCAGGCTGTTCGCAGTGGTACGTATATCTGAGAGACAAACACACAGATGCTTCCCTCATGTCTGTCTGTCTGTCTGTCTGTCATGTTCTTTGTTTGTATTCAGCTGGAGCTGGCCTTCAACAGCGGACTCTTGTTCGGGCCCCTCCTATCCTCCATCATCCTGTTCGTCACATCCGACCCCGCACAGCCATATGTCCCTCTGGCAGCCCTCTACATCCCTCTGGCCCTACTCTCCCAGTGGTCGTATGTCGCCTATCGAGGTGGCCCGGCTCTTTCCTCTGGCAGATGGACGAACGAGCAGACGCCCATCTCGTCGGCTGCCATTTCTGGGAGAGACTACACGTGACTCAGACGGGGGGAGAGGGGAGAGGGGAATGCGTTTTTGGGATGAGAATACGAAGCGATGTGTGAGCGATGGGTGGAATTGGGTAGGAGACGCCTTGACGGTGATGGACAGAGACATGCTTGTATATCCACACATATGTTCAGTTCAAAGTGAGTGCTGAAGCGAGCCATATACAGAATGCTTATATACTGCCTGGCGTTTCGGCAGGAAAGGGCACACTTCACTTGTTGTCTGTCTGACTGGTCATCTCGAGCAGCTGGTGGGGGACCGTCCCAAAGTAATCCTGAACCACACACACACACACACACCCACCCCGCCACACCATGGCACGTTTGAATGTGCGTATGTGCCGCTGCATCTCGCCCACTCACCCACCCAGTGTGTGGTGTTTTCTCGTGTCCTCTTGGCCAGCCACCTCCGCACCTCAACGGCCGGCCGATTCAGTACATCCGCAGCACGGACACACATGCTCTCATAGTGACGCAACAGCTGTACCACACACAGAAAAGACACGTGTGTGTGTATGCGTGGGCGTGGGCGTGGGTGTGTGCGTGTACCCTCTGTTCGCCTATGCGGACGACGAGGGCGTTTCTCTGAGGTGGGGTCAGGGGTGAGCCCGGCCGCTGCAGCAGCTGCTCGTCATCCTGCAGACAGACATACATCAAGTCTGTATGTATACGGATGTGGCTGACCTGCAGTGATGCCGGGTAGCGTTTGAGCGCGTCCGCACACAGCTGCTGGAAGTGGGTCAGAGCCTGTATCAAGATGCACACAACCTTCACACTCTATTGCACACGAGTGGGGGAGTATGTATACGTACCAGTAGCTCATTGTGCACACTGATCGGGGGGACGCTCCACATGTCTGACGACACCGAAGGCATGCAGACAGACACATGCACACAGGTCAGGATTGCCATGCCTCAGGAGGGTACCAGAAATTGATGGGAGCTCATCCACGTCGCTGCGTGCAGAAAGGAGAAACAGCGTGCGCGTGCATGGGTGTGTTCATGGGTATGCCCACGTGATGACGTGTATGCGGAGAAACGCCATGAGCCTCTGATAGAGGGACGGGTCGGCACTGTCCCACGCCAGGCGAAACGTAAGCCTACACACACAAAAAACACAGAACTCCACACTCCACACAGATAGCACAAGGGTACCTATAGATACCTGTGTGTGTTGTTGCCATCGACGTCGATCGCTTTGCCGCTGAAGTGCCGCGCCTTCGCCGCCCAGAGCTCTCTCTGCTCCTCAGATAAATCCACCTGACATGTACACACATAGCTAAGATCCGTGTGTGTGTGCACATCGTCATGTGTGTGTGTAGTGAATAGTCATGTAGTAGCCTACGTGTACATCGACGGTGTCGTGGATGTGGTGTTGGTCGAGCAGTGTGAAGCCGTAGTAGAGATACAACAGACGGTTGGCCTTGGGGCCATAGGAATCATGCACCTGCATCAAGACACACACACACACACACATGTGGATCTGCGCATGGGCTGGATCACACACATCCACAGTGTATTGCGGACCTCTTCGCCCACAGTGAAGTCCCTCAGTGCCTCCAGCACAAAGCACCCCTCACACGCATCGAAATACCAACGACTCTGAACACACACATGCGTAAAAGGGTCCATGTGCTTGCCTGTGTGTGTGTGATGCGCACCTCCGGCGGCATTTTGTGGTTGAGTATGTCGGCGAGTGGGCAGAGCATCACCAGCGGACACGTGGCGTCCTTCTGGCGTTGACGGAGAAAGGAGAACAGACGACTCTGATCAAGGCGTCGCCACATAGACACGCATTCTGTCCGTGTGTGTGTGCGTGACTTCGTACCCCTACGATGCATCGTGCCCACATGAAGTCCTCAAGTGATGCGACGGAGCTGAAGTCACCCAGGGCCTGATCACAAACCAATGTGCATGTAGCCATTTCGGTAGATAGCTGTGTAGTAGTGTGTGAGCTGTACGATGGTGAGTATGGCGTAGTCGGTCATGATTTCCTGCTTCCTCCTCTTGACCTCACCACGCGCTGACGATGCGACACACAGGCAAATATATATACCGCCTCAGCACACTCATGTGCGTGTACACTCACTGTGTACGGTGGTGCCAATGAGCCATGTCAGATCCTTGTCACTGAAGAACACCGAATGGTGACGACGGACCAAGGACAGAGGGGGCAGACTCGCTGACGGACCGACACACACAGGGACACAAATGCAGATCCATAGTGTACATGCGGTCTCTCGCCGACCGATGTAATTCCTCCATTTGGATCTGTGTCCCTTGTTCCTCTCGTAGAGCAGGAAGGCAGCCACCGCACTGTGGCCACTCAACAGCTGCAATGCAGGAGGGGACTCACCCGATGACGCCAAATCATCGCCATTGCAATCACGACGCCCATTGGGTGGCTGCATACACACACACATGGCGTCGTGATACAGACACATACATGCATATTAATGCTCCTCTCTCTCTGTGCATCTCACCGTTCCGTCGACAGTGTCGGCATCGTCTGCAGTGGCGGCCTCGCCTGTGTGTTGGTGGCCCAGCAGCAGCCTGTCCAGATTCACCAGCGGACCCAGCTGAGGGCATGCTGTGGCACACACATGACATCAGGTGAGTGTGCTGTGAATATGCATGCGTCTTGTGTTCGACCTTCAAGCACGGTATCGGGCGTGATGCAGAGATCCACAGGCACCGTCAGAAACCTCTCGCCCCGCTGACAACCACACATGCAACACGACACAGATCTGTCTGTCAACGAGTGTGCTGTGCCTGACTCACTCATGTTTCTTGCTTACCTTTATCTCCTGAGTGCACACCACGCCGTACTCGCCCTCCTCCCCCATCTGCCGGACTCCGACCTTGCCGCACGACGCCCCGCCATCCCTCAACCACGCGCAGAGCCCATCGAACACCTCCGCTGTCCGATGACACTCACTCATGATTCATTGAATCGTATCTCCCTCTGGTGATCTCCCCATTTGTGCATGCTGTCGCCCTTCTGCTTTTTCCCTCTCTCTCCAAGCGCCAAGCTCGCAGACCGATCGCTTGCGAGCTTTGACTTGACACAGAGAAGGGCAAAGGATGGTGCTGAGATGGCGTCTGCTCGCCTTCATATGCCTCCCCGTTGTGTTTTGTGCACCGAGGCGGCACACATCTTTCATCCGGCCGGCTCCCCGCCTGGCGAGCAGATGGATGCGGCAACAGAGTGCGCGGAGGGCTGCTCCCGATGGCCTGGTACGCAGCCACATGCCCAGCCATGCGCTTGACAGATCGTCTCAATGCGTGCGTGCGTGTGTGTGGTGATCTTGCGTGTGTCAGTTTCCTGAAGTCTCCTCAACGACGACATTGGGCACCGGTGCGTCAGCTCCCTCTGCGGAAGAGATCTTGGACAGCACCGATGCGTTGCTGGACAGCAGCGTGCTGCCCGTCAGCAGCCCGACACCGAGAGATGTCCTCTCCCCGGACACCATCACCATCGCGCCGCCCAAGAAGGTACGTATGGCATCGCATCGGTGGACACGTGACTGACATGTGGGCTGGATGGACGGATGGATGCGTGTGTTGTGTCTTGGTGTGTGTCGATCAGATAGCGTTGCTGGTGGAGCCGACGCCGTTCACGTACATCAGTGGGTATGCGAATCGGTTCAAGGAGCTGCTCAAGCACTGCAGGCGGCAAAAGGACACCGTCGAGATCGTCACGCCAGACGACAGCACTAACCCGCCAAAAGAGGTGCGGGAGGGTGTGAGTGTGCACACACGCACACAGAGGGGCGAATGGGCATGTGTATGTGTGGCTGTGTGTGGCTGAATGGCCCATTGATGGCTCAGGCCTATGGCTTTCGGATTCACAACACGTGGAGTTTCCGGCTGCCGTTCTACAAGAGCCTGGCGCTGTCGACAGACTTCCCCGACTTCAAGGGACTGCGGGTCCTCAAACGACTCAAACCCGACCTGCTGCACGTAATGAGCACATCATGGCACACAGACACACACACATACGGATGTGACTGTGTGGGTGTTGTGTGTGTGCAGGTGAGCACTCCCGGTTTCTTGGCGATGACGGCGTGTCTGTATGCGCGTCTTCTGAAGATCCCTTTGGTCATGAGCTATCACACACACCTACCCGTATACGCAGCCAAGTACCTCGGATGGCTCCCAGGTCAGTCAATGAGTGCATCCACACGTCTGTGTACACTACCCCTGTGTGTGCCCGTGTGTGTGTGTAGGCATTGTGTGGCTGTCATGGCTGGCACTGCGTCTGTTCCACAACCTGGCTGACCTCACTCTGGTGACCAGTCCGCAGATCAAGAGTGAGCTCGAGAGCCACGGCATACAGAAGGTCGACGTCTGGCAAAAAGGAATCGACACTGAGGTGACCTCCCACCTCTCTCCTCAACACACAAACTCGGCCCTCCCTCCCTCCCTCATTGTGTGTGTTCTTGTCAGACCTTCAATCCGACCAAGAGGTCAGCGGCCATGCGCAGTCGGCTCTCAGACGGCCACCCAGACGACCCCCTGCTGGTGTACATCGGCCGCCTGGGTGCCGAGAAGAACCTGCACCTGCTGCGGGATGTGCTTGAGAGGGTGCCGGAGGCCAGGCTGGCGTTTGTGGGTGCGGGGCCGTGTGAGGATGAGCTCAGGGAGTACTTCAACGGCACCAAGACTGTCTTCACGGGATTCATGACCGGTTCGCGACAGAAAGAGGAAGACCGACATACAGACGGTATGAAGGCATGGAAGCTGTTGTATGTGTGTAGGGGAGGCGTTGAGTGAGGCGTTCGCCTCCGGGGACATATTTGTCATGCCATCCGAATCCGAAACACTCGGTAAGACACACATACACACCACACAAGCGTCTGCACTCACGCCCCTGCCACCTGTGTATGCTTCCTTCTTTCAGGTTTTGTGGTCCTAGAGTCGATGGCCAGCGGTGTGCCGGTGATCGGCGCCCGTGCAGGCGGCATCCCCAACCTCATCCGGCACGGCGAGACGGGATTCCTCGTCCAAAGCGATGACGTCCAGCAGTACGTCGACAGGGTGCGTGAGCTGCTGTCTGACGATGCGCTGCGGCGGCGTATGGGCGAGGCCGCCAGGAGGGAGGCCGAGCAGTGGAGCTGGGAGGCTTCCATGGCCAAGCTAAGAAACATACAGGTGCCGTGAACAGACTGGCGGACATCAATGCGGTCCGTAGACGTTGTCCTGTGTCTGTGTGTGTGTGTCTCAATGTCAGTATCCGCGTGCAATCTTGAATTTTCGTCGTCGAATGCGGGGCGGCTTCGCCCGACTGAGATCGAGACTACGACTCATTCGCATATTCGTAAGGAGGAAACCACCCATCACCGAGGCGCACACACACACACGAGCGGCTTTTGATGCATCGACCAGGCCGTTGCGTCAGCCGTGTGGGCGTTAAGATGGCTGACATCACCTTTCGCCCTTCCCGCCCCTCCATTAACACCAGCAGCAGCAGCAACGTCCCCATCGTCTTCAGACCAGCCTACACAACGAGAGAGGAGAGATGTGGTTGCCTTCTGGACAGTGTGATCGATGTGATGCGTATGGTGTCTCCTTGCGTTTCGCCCATCCCTGAAAATGAAGTCAGTCAGTCGGTGAGTGAGTTTTGGAGTGGGTGAGATGATATGGACGCAACGAGTAGCGAGTGACACCAGTAGGCTGGCGTGAGCTGGGGGGTGTTGCGAGTTGCGACGGCATTGGTCGATCGGTCGGTGCGTAGAGGAGACGGGCAACGTGGTGGGGGCCTTTGTGGGTCGGTTGGGGTATTGCTGTCTATCTGCCTGTCTGTGTGTCTGATTTTTGACGCCGCTTGAATAGCGGCAGCGTGTCACTGTCTGACTGACTGGGGCGGTGGGCTGGCGGCTGCATGGTCAATGCTCCCTCTATTGCTATCGATTCCATATGTATCCTGTACATGTATCTACGTATGTATGCATGTATGTATGTATTGTATCAGTCTGTGTGTGTGTACATGTGTGTATGTGTGTGTGTGTGCGTGTTGGTGTTTGTCTGTGTATACGGAAGGGAGGGTGTTTCGGCATGCAGTCACCTCCGGCCATTCTTTCTTGATCGATTCGCTGCTCAGCCCATTCATATTGATTGATGATATGATTTTTCTCCTCTCGTCGGTTTCTTGGCCGTGGACATACACACAAACGGTCATGTTTGTTGTTTTCTTCATCTCATATGTGTTCTACGCATGTGTTGCTGAGCGTGACTGACTGACTGCTCTCCACTGTGCATCTCCTGTCCCTTGCTTGCCTATGCGCTCGTTCCCTAGTGTGTCCAGCTGACATGGCCGCTACCTGCATTCATGTGGCTGTGCATGTGTGTGTGTGTGTGTGTGTGTGTGTACGGAGCACGACGATCGATGCCATGCGCCATGACAGACACACACTCGTGATGCGACGATTGATCAACACGCGTACGCACCGAAGAGAAGCCTTTGGAAGGGAGGAGGCCACCCGACTCAGTGCCTGCCTGACGGAACGCATCACTGAGTGGCAGATGCGCACATACAGATTTCTCTCTGTGGTTAATTGCATCTGAGGCATTTTAGTCCACGTGTGGGGACCGTCAGCTCGTCTTCTTGTGTGTCATGTGACTGCGGACGGGTGTGAGTACTCATGCCCCGGAGAATCGGCGGCTCGAGAGCTGCCTGACAAGGAGAGGGCCAGACAGACTGTCAACCAACAGGTGTGTGTGTGCCAACGACAAAGGCTGCTAATCGGCGTGAGGTGTGTGTCTCCTTGTGTCACTGATACAGACGTTCGGCGCTTCGCAAGAGGAGAATCGCAGCCTCTGTGAGCAGCTGACCAGCCAGCAGGGCAGCATCAATGCAGAGAGAAACTGAGGGCTGCATGCTCACGTGTTGATGGACATTTCCAATCAAGTCTTGATGTCTCATTGGCAAACACACAACACCTCACAGCCCCCCGCAGTGGTCCACACGAAGACACAAGAAAGAACCCGAGGACTGCCATTCGCCGTGTCATTTACGACGACACATGATCGGTCAGGTCTCACTGTCAGATCACCCACTCACAGTGCCTCATAGCTTCTTATTCGATGCACACCCGAGCGACTGACAGACGTTGACTCACATGATCACACAGCAAGGCCCACACGCGCGCTTGTACTTCTCCATGATCTTTCTGGTCTCTGGCTCGTCCTCTGCATTGTCCCAGGGCGTCTCCCCCTGTTGTCATGAGATGAGATGAGCACACCACTCAGCCCATCGATGGTGTGAATGTCTGTGTGCACTCACATAGTTGTTTTTGATGTCCAACAGCGCACCGCCGCCCCACTTGAGCCTTTGAGAATGACACACACACAGAGAGAGAGAGAGAGAGTGGGGATGAGACATTCGCGTCAGTCATTCATGTGTGTCGCTCACAGCTGAGACACAGCCGCAGAGTTGCCACAGATTGCAGCCAAATGGAGTGCCGTTTTTCCGTCCTTTGTGTGTCATGCACACAGTGAAAGGCAATCAAGCAGTGAGAGAAGACTGTGTTGTCTCACGTTGTCCATCTCTGTGAGTAGCTTTGTTCCTCGTTTGGCATACAGAACCTTCAACACAGCAACGTTACCACCTATGGCAGCCTGCATGAATGGCGTCCTGCCCTTCTGCAATCAAAACACACACACAATCGACACGCTGAGGTGTCAGAGACATGTGTGTGCTCTGTTACCTTGTCGCGTGCATCGATCAGTTTGGGATCCCACGCCAGCAGCTTATTGACGGCCACAAGATGGCCACCCCAGCAAGCCGAGTGCAGGGCAGTGTTACCATTCTGCATTCCATCACAGCCAACACACATCTTCTCACCATGACCAGCAGCACAGAAGATGCTTAGGTTGGTACCCGGCCTGTTTGCTGCAGGATGGACCCGTTCATCTCGTACAGAAACTTCATCACTTCAATTTCATCATGGCCTGCAGCCTCATGCAGCGCCGTCTCGCCGAGCTGTGTGTGTCATGCACACAAAGAAAGGCAATCAATCAGATGAGGCGGGAGGCATTCTGTGTCTCACGATGTTTTTCTGTGTGACCAGGTCCTTTCGTTTGTCATACAGGGCCTCCAACACATCGACATGACCATCTCTGGCAGCCTCCATAAATGGCGTCTCGCCAGACTGCAATCAACACACACACACACACACACAATCGGCATGAAGAGGCTTGAGAGACATGTGTGTGCTCTGTTACCGGGGTGCGTGCGTCGATCAGTTTGGGATCCCACTCCAGCAACTTATTGACCATCGCGACATGGCCCCTGTTGACAGCTAAGTGCATGACGGTGTTACCAAACTGCATTCCATCACACTCAACACACATCTCCTCATCATCACCAGCCGCACACAGGGTGGTTTGTCTACGTCGGTCGGTACCTGTTCTGTTTGCTGCAGTACGTCAGGTTTGCTCTCATACATGACCGACATGACGCCCACGTGACCCTTGTTGGCAGCCCAAAGGAAGGGTGTCAACTGCGTGCGAGAACGAGACCACACAGACAGACCACTGAGTGTATTTCTCTCGTCGTCACGATTGCATGCCTTGAAGATGAGCTCGTCTCGTTTGTCGAGTATATCCTTGCCCTCTCGCTCGATGAGCAAATGAACCGACTGCTCATCGCCAAACACGGCGGCCCTGAAAAGGTCAGCCTGCCACACATCCAGCAGAGAAAAGCGGCCAGTTGACATGTGGGGTTCAGCTGCTGTGTCCCTTACGTGTTTGATCTGCGGCTGTGGGGTGCTCGGCGGTGTCTTCACTGACGGCTGCTGGGCTGGGGGCGCTGCAACACACAAACCATGGATAACCAGTCGTATGTCTCTCCATGTGTTGTCTTCGTGCCTTCCACACCGACCTGTCTGCTCTTCCGCAACCACAAGTCCGACCTGTGCTGGATGGACCGTACTCGGCGGCCCCGGCACTGTGCTGGCCATGCTCGTGTGAACACTCGGTGGAGCGCCAGCGGAAGGCACGTCAACGGGAGACACAGGGGAAGGGGGAACCAACACCGGGTCTGCACACAGTCAAGCAGTCAAATGGGGGCTTTCTCGTGTCAAAGTGGAGCGTCAGTGGACCTGCGCCCTTTGACGGACTCGCCGGAATGCCCAGCTTGGCCAACAACTACCACAGTCAGGCAAGCAGATACGACATGCCGACGCGTTTGTCCAGTGGTGCGTGTCAGGTACCTCTTTGGCTGTGGGGCGATCTTCCGGCTTGAAGGCAAAACAACTCTGATCACCGTCACAATCGGAAGGGAAATGCAGCACACGAGAAGGGCTCTCGGTTTACCTTGATGGCACTCTTGATGTGCTCAGGCAGGGAATCGGGGATGCGGGGGGTCTGACAGAAGTAGGCAGAAAGAGAACTTCAGAGGATCTGTGAACATGTGTCAACGTGGCAGGTCACCTGCTTTCGGACGACAACGGCGGTGATGATGATGAGAGGTGCTTGGCCCTCAAAGGGAGGCCCGCCTGAACATTACAAGTGAAGGCTACTGTCTCTGACTGAAAGTGCATCTGCTGACCGCCAAACAGCTGCGCGATAATGCATCCAACCGCCCATATGTCCGCCTCCATAGAGGGCTTCCCCACTGCACACACCGGCGATGATTCAAGTTCCCAAGGCGACCGTCTTTTCTTGCACTCACAGTTGTCTGGATCCAATGATTCAGGCGACATTCAATTGGGGGTTCCCTTAATGCCGCCTGCAGTCCAGGGACGGATGCACCAACACACACAGACGCACCTCGCTCACCGCATTCCGCCATCCCATGTCTCTTGCTACCTGCAGAAGAGCTCAACGTCACTTGAACATTCCGCGTCATGCCGAAGTCACTTATCTTGATCACCAGACGCTCACCCAACTGACAGACACGAGACACAACAAGATGCTGCAGCCATCGACCGAGAGGTGAAGGTTGTCTGCCCTTACGAGAATATTGCCCGGCTTCAAGGCTCGATGCACGATGTCGTGGTCGTGCAGATACTGCACCCCCTCACATATCTGACGGCAATCGACACACAAATCTAGATGTGACGCTGTCTGCTGTGCTGTACCTCTCTCACGAATCTGTCTCGCACGTCGGGCGGCAGTGGTCTGTTCTTGGCCAAATATTTGTCCAGCGATCCGCCCTTACACAACTCTGAGAATTGTGGACACGCGACACACAGTCAGGAAGCAGATGAATGAACCGAGGTGACCTGAGACGATCATGAGGCCGTGCTTGGCGTCCGTGCAGACACCGAGGAACTGCACTATGTTGGGGTGTCGCAGGTAAAGCATCTCCTGAGCCTCGGACAGAACATCCTCCATCGCCCCAGCCATCAGCTCCTGCATCACATGATGCCTGTGTGCCACATGATTTGACACGCCCTGCGATGCTCACGCTGTCGGTAAGCTCCTCCCCGGTAAGTGGGGAGGCCTCCCTCAATTTCTCCATCTTTGTGATCTTTACAGCCACGTCCAGACCATTCCACTTGCCCTGGTACACTATACCGAATGCTCCAACCCCTGACACAGACACACATGCAGAGGTACACAGAGGTCACCCAATCGATGACATCGGGCCAGCAGTTGGTCGTGAGCGCACCAAGCTTCTTGTCACCCACAGTCAGGTCCCTCGCCCTGATCAACAGGCGAGGGACGGGGGAAGCCATGAGGGGCGAACTTACGCACTCGTCACTGGCAGCCCCGCTGTCCGTTCGGCCCCCAATGCCCCCAGGGTTCTCGACCACTGGCCAAGCACGGCAGATCACGAGCGCTATCCACAGACACAGACACATTTTGGTCCACGTGTGGGTGCTCACTCGCTTTTCGTATCTCAAGTGACTGAGGACGGTCCTTGTTACATACTATTACATACACACACCCCACATGTCACCCGGCATGCGTCTGTGTGGATGAATTCCACTCGATGCGATGGAGGAATGTCACTGCATGGTGATGCGATCAATCAGCACGCACGCAACCGCGAAAAGAGTTCCCATTGCACACGCTCATTTCTGACCGTAAAAGCAGCAGTACACAGCTACTTGTGGACCGAGTAGCAGCGCCCACATTAGTCAATCACCACTTCTGTTGGTGTGTGCTATACTTGTCAGCCACCGAAACTCATCTCGTTGTCCATCCATCTCAACACCGAAAAACTCACAATGATCGAACCGATGAGCCGTACTGCCAGAGAGTGCATGTTGTTCGGTTGTCTGTCTGTCTCATGCGTGTCTCTTGCTTAACTGCACCGCGCTTCCCTGTAAGACATTCGTGATGTTGACCATGTGAGCAGGGAGGGAAGGCATGAGTGGCAAAACCAGATGGGTAACAGAACCAGCGCGTCTGCATGTGTGTATGTATTGTTACGCAAGTTAGACAAGGCATGTGTGTGGCAAAAAGCGGTCAGGGTGGCCACGCGGGGGTAGTGGTAGCAAAAAGACGTTCGTCTGTGAGGGGGTGCTGGTTGGTACGTACACAGGTTAAATACATACATACCTACGTACACATACAGATGGATAGGCACACAACGGTGAGATAAATACATAACACACAGAAACACACACACATCGGTATATACACATCACACACACACACGAACACGAACACATAAAAGCAAACGAAATGCATGGTATGAATAAATCCCCCAACACGCACACGCACACGCAATTAAATTGCCATATCCGTTCTCACGTCGAGGCGAACACAAACACACACACACATAACCCGACCGTACAGTGCTTTGTGTGTGTGTAGTGCTGCTCGCTCCTGGTGTTGTGTGGTCTGTGCGTCCCCGTCGATGCACTCGATGCTGCGTCGCATCTCACGGCTGAACAAACATGGAGTACATCCACGACAACATACAGACCACACACACAGAGAGCCAGAGTGGGACACATCCGGCTGTGCGCTTGCCTTGCCAGCCACGTGTTTGCTTTGGTATGTGCTGGTGCCTGGAACTAAACACGCGAAAACCCCGAAAAAACAACGCAGGCATACGTACGTGCACGTACTTGTCAGGGAGAGCTGAATTCGATCAAGTTAATCAACCCGCCCAACAGACGTAAGGGGTCAGATGTGCATGAATCGGGAGGGAGGGAGGAAGGGGGCGTTTGTCAGGCGATATTGCGTCTTTAACGTGAGTTGCAGGCGGCTGCGTTGGAAAGTCGGTGGTCGAGAGCTGCCTCGACAAGGAGAGGACCAGACAGACTGTCAACCAACAGGTGTGTGTGCCAACGACAAAGGCTGCTAATCGGCGTGAGGTGTGTGTCTCCTTATGTCACTGATACAGACGTTTGGCGCTTCGCAAGAGGAGAATCGCAGCCTTCGCGAGCAGCTGACCAGCAATCAGGGCAGCATCAATGCAGAAAGAACTGAGGGCTGTATGCTCACGTGTTGATGGACATTTCCAATCAAGTCTTGATGTCTCATTGGCAAAAACACAGCACCTCACAGCCCCTCGCAGTGGTCCACACGAAGACACAAGAAAGAACCCGAGGACTGCCATTCGCCGTGTCATTTACGACGACACATGATCGGTCACGTCTCACTGTCAGATCACCCACTCGAAATGCCTCTTAGCTTCTTATTCGATGCACACCCGAGCAACTGACAGACTCTGACTCACATGATCACACAGCAAGGCCCACACAAAGGCATGTACTTCTTCATGATCTTTCTGATCTCTGGCTTGTCCACCGCCATGTCCCACGGCGTTTTGCCCTGATGTGATGAGATGAGATGAGCACACCACTCGACCCATCGATTATGTAAATGTCTGTGTTCGCTCACCTCGTTGTTTTTTATATCCAACAGAGCACCGCCGCCCCACTCGAGCCTTTTGACACACACATAGACACAGGGAGAGAGAGAGAGAGAGAGAGGGACTCCGAGTGGATGAGATGTTCGAGTCAGTCATTTATCTGTCTTCTTACAGCTGAGACACAGCTCCAGTGTGGAGAAAGCAGCCTGCAGCCTCATGGAGTGCTGTGTTTCCGTCCTTTGTGTGTCATGCACACAAGGAAAGACAATCAAGCAGTGAGAGAAGACTGTGTTGTCTCACGTTGTCCATCTCTGTGAGTAGCTTTGTTCCTCGTTTGGCATACAGAACCTTCATCACAGCAAGTTTGCCACCTGAGGCAGCCTGCATGAATGGCGTGGTGCCATCCTGCAATCAACACACACACACAATCGACACACACCGAGGCGTCAGAGACATATGTGTGCTCTCTTACATTGCTGCGTTCGTCGATTAGTTTCAAATCCCAATCTACCAGCTGATTAATCGCCACAACATGACCCGCCTGGGCAGCCTCATGCAAGGCTGTGTTACCCCACTGTTGCATTCCATCAGACCCAACACACATCTCCTCATTACCAGCAGCACACAGGATGGTTTGTCTGTGTGGACACCTTGTCTGTTTGCTTCAGTACGTCAGGTTTGCTCTCATACATGGC